AACTACCCAATAGTTTTGGTTTTTAAGCGCTTTGCGTTATACTACAACGTAGCTCAATTGCTTTTCAAGTAATTTTAAGAGCGTACTTCGTTATCGATAACAATAAACAAACAAACAATACACTACGTCATTATGTACATTCACGGGCGGATTGAAGATGGATCATTATCGGTCTTGCAATACGCATGTGCGTCAGAAGGATATTTATGTCTTTTTAAATGTCTAATTTTTTTTTACCTTGAATTTAAAAACAAAAATGACACTGTTTTCGACTTTCCCTTGCTACTTAAGACGATGTTAATCTTCTAGCAAAAGAAGTGTGTCCTCAAGTTTGAAATAAATACTCTGTTTAGAATACTCTGAGTCAATAGATACAAACAAATCATACAAACGTTAGCTGATATGACACAGATTATGAGGTGATATTGTGAACCTCAAGCCGTTTCCTACTTTCTCAAATCTTCGGTGACGCGCTTTTCGTCAGAAAACAAGAAAAAGATAACTACGAATTTCATCTATTCGTTTTTCATGTAAGTACTTGGACAGTAAAGGTTTAGTCGCTGTTAGAAGGTGACACAAATTCGGCTGATCAGAAGGCTTTTCTCTGAAGCACTGAAACTTTAAGTTAATATGTGACTGTCGCATAATATCATCTTTTGTCTTCAAACGACCAGAAAAACAGTGGCAATATAACCTTTAAAGAATCGGAAGGTCGTTAGCCATGAATAGACCGCTTAACTCACGCATGTGACGCCAGAACAAAAATGAATCTTGACTGAGGTGTTGTAAGCCTGAAGAAGGTTTTCTTATGGTTTCTTTCGTGAAATTATTTCTTATACCTTTTTTTTTAATCTTCGTTCGTTTGCCCATATTTAAGTCTTTGCTTTTGAGCACTCAGTTGTCGTAAACAGCTCCCCCAGTTACACGAATGAGTTTGCGTGACTAGGTGAAAACGGAATCTTCTTGTAACACAAACAAATCGCCAGGTATTTACCTACACGAAATATCCAACATAAGAAAATAATGAATGGTTCTGAGCGTTGGGTTCTTCGATTCCCGTAAACTAAAGAAGACGAATCTCTCGAGAAATTCATGGTAAATTGACTTATTCCTTCAATAACGATTTTTGCATGGATTTTGCCATTCACTCAAATATTGCAAACTCATTATTGCTAAATCAACCGTGACCAGGAGAAGGAAATAATTTTGGTATGGTCCACCAATGATTTATTCTTCCGTTTACTAGTCAAAATTAAATGATACTTTTCGCTCATGCCATCTGTAAATTCCCATTTTATCAACCTCTGTCTCCGTTTTAAATATCTCTGGTCTGAAGGAATATCTGTAACATATTTACTAAGCATGAACACCGATTTTCAAATGGATAATTATAAACATCATATTTCTAATTATTTCTCCATTGATTCAGATAACACCAATTCATGTTTTTTTTTTACCTTGATGATAAAGGCTTGAAGTACCGAACTGAAATAAAATTGCAGAAACCTCAGAATTTCAGTCCCGCAATGAATGGGCACTTCTCTCTTCTTTACTTTTTACTTAGTCTAAGTGTGGAGTGTGAAGTGTGAAGTGTAAAGTGTGCGTGTTTCCACAAGGTTTACACAACAACAGGAATGCTCATGATCTTGAAAACTTGACTCTATTCTATGGGGATATAAGCGTTCAGCTTTTGGTGCTAACCCTAAGCTAGCCCTAAGCAAAAAAAAAAAACTTGGTTGTTCCAGAGGGTGGGTAACGTTATCCACTCGATAAATCTCTATCCGTTGGATAGCGCAATACGTTTTGTTGAAACTTATCCGCTGGATAGCGTTATCCGCCCTTTGAAATACTGGTTAGGTTTTGATCTGTGGAAACATTCCTTACTTTTGGCTTGACAAACCAAATATTTACGTGCAGCACTTTCTGATAAATCTGATGTAACAAGATTTATCGGTTTGAATACCCGTTAATCTTCTCTAAAAAATATTTTAAAGGCAGTGTAATTGTGTGGATGTTTAGTATGTGTAGCGAAGGTGGCAGATATATTATGACATGGTTGTAACGTCAGAAAGTTAAAAAGTAATGGTCGTCAAGTGATTAGGTTTTCAACTACATATTACGAAGTTCAATGTTGCAAGAGATATCCGCTATACAACAGAATGAATAGTAGTATTTGCGTCAGTTAGATCTATATTTACTCCAATGACCTTTATAAAAAGAAGCCCCCACCTCCCCCCCACCCCCCGTTTAAATTATGTCTTAATTTCGCCGTTTGGTTTTAACTGACTGCCAATGTATCACATCCCAATCATTTCTCTTATTCATCAGGCTTTTCGTGAACGAGTAGTGCCAGTTGAAGAGAGGACGAAGCCGGCGACAGTGATTGCCTTCACGTGAACTATTTTAGTGTATGAAGCTGACCGAAATTCGATGGAGAAAATTGATATACCGTATTAGCTGACGTACAAAATATTGGTCTGTGTAATAAACCACTGCACCACTACATGACTAGATTAGCAATCGGGTTATTGATCGACTAGTCTGGTTTTAACAGTTTTGTTCGAAGGTAAGGCGTGAACATATCTCAAAGTGAGTAGAACGGGCACAAAATCTCTCATTTTGGATATGGTACTGTCACTTTCAGAGAAAGAAAGAATAGAACAAGAAAAATTTCAAACAAACAAATAAGCTAAAAGAAGGAAGCTTAAATATTTAATAGTGGCACTGAAACTTTGCTCTCAGAGTGCTGTTTCGATTGGGTCCGTCTAGCATTAATTTCATATCTTAGGCATAAACAAAGATTCAGCGAGGAACTCGACCTTTCATGATGACGTCGCAGAAGTCTTTCTATAAAACTTATTATAAAAAACTTTTCAAAGTTCCCGAAACTTCAGATTAAGGGAACCGTTTACGGCATAAAAACCCACCTGTCACTGGAAGTATGTGGGCGTCCATGACGTCACTTGATTTATGTTTTGACGTCGTGGTATATTAAGTATTACTAAATATGACAGAGAGTAATATCAATACAAAAAGAGGACAGATTAAAAAAGAAAAAAACCAACAAAGCAATGTCTTCGGAAATACGTACTACAAGGCTTTGTGCAGATTTAGGGAAGTCCTTGAAGAATTTTATGCAATATACATTCTCTATCGACGCTTCTAAAATAAAATTTGGAAAGAAACCCACGCAGCAATAAACGGACAGAAAGACTTGAACTCGAAAAATTCTACTATCTCTTTGTCTGAGAATCATTTTTTCAATAGTTCATTGAAAACAGGCGCATACTGATTGACGCCAAAAAAGAACTGAAATATATGTAATTATTGCTACAAGAAGACCAGCTGCTGCAGTGACACACTCAGTTTTGACACTGCTCATACAAGATTAAAGAAGGCTCATGTAAGAGATCCAAACAACTTTAATTAATCAACTGTGACCAGGATATCTTGTTATGCAACTCCCGATAGATTTTGGACGAGTTCAAGCGATGCACTTGAAGTGATGGTCTGCGAGAATTCAAATACCCTCAACTGAGACAGATCAGAAAGAAGACAGTTTTCCATTCGGCCTCGTCTTGGTAAGATTTCAAATTCGGAGAGAAGAGGGTTGTTTTGTTTGTCGGCGAAGTTTATCAGACCGGGCCATCGAGCCATCAGTATGTTTAAATGCGCAGGTTTTTTAAACAATTGCGTCCTGAAATGTAATTATCTCGATTTTCAGTACAAACTCTTGCCATTGTAGACACTACCCAATATCATTACCGTGACATCTATTGTAAAGCGCTTTGCGTCAATTATTTTTCAAATAAATTCAAGTACGTGATTCATTAACGGGGTTAATGATCAAACAAACAATACTCAAAATTATGATTTATCTTCCACCGCAGAATGAAGAGGGTCGATATCGCTCTTGAAGTACGCACATAAATTATAAATTGCCTCACGCGACTTATCTACCCGCAAGGCTTGAGAGAGACTGATATCGCTGTAACAATATGCACGTGAGCAAATAGAGATAAAGATTTCTTTTAAATGAGTTAACATTCATTGAAAAGGACCTTTGCTTAGTAAGAATCTAAGCTAATGCGACACAAATTATGAAGGCTGGATATTGTCAGGTTCCTACTTTTGAAAAATAATAATGATAATAATAACACTAATAATAATAATAATAATAATAATAATGATAATAGAACAAGAAATGTAACTAAGATTTTCAATTACAGTTGCTTTTCATTAAAGTATTTTGTCGTTAGGAGATTTTTTTAACTGAAAGCTTTGAAACAGAAGATGACACCGATCTACTTGGCTTGCTCATCTGGGTTTTAACTGAAACGACCTGAAACATTAAATTATGTTGGACCAAGCACTTGTCTACAAATGTTTAGTGAAACTGTAGCAATATAGCCATTGTTGAATCAGTATATCCATTAGTGGGTCATTTATCGCAAATTAGGTCATTTAAACCACGCATATCACACGCTCGAACAAAAATGAATCGTAAAAAGAGCTGTGAGCTAGAAGGGCCTTTCTGAATCTTTTATCGCGTGACACTACTGTGCAAATTGGATATTTTCGGCCTACTGCTTAAATTTCTGGAGCAGCTTCATTAAAAACCGTTGTTGTGCTAAGCTAGAAAATAAAATTTTACAGAGTGGTATTGCCTTAAAATTTGTGGCAAACAGATTCCTCTCTCTGTTTTGGTTAACGCGTAGTGTAAACTTTGTTAGTTCCAGGAAGATTACATAACAATGAACGCTCATAATCTTGAACACGTTCCTCCATCATAATGCCATCGAAATGCGAGAGTTCAGTAAGAGGAAAATTTTTGATGGAGTGTTTTCATTGTTTACATTTTTTTTCCTTTGGGTGGTTGTTTCAATTTACTGACTAGGTGACAAAGGTGAAATAAGAGAAATTAAAAAAGTAATTGATCATCAGTTGCTTATGGAATCATTCTTTGGATGCGCTTTCTCTGCAGTTCTAATTTAGCGCGACAGTCCGGTTAATTTTGCACATGTACTACGTCAGCTGGATCCAAATTGGCTTAAACGAGGTAAAATGAGTCAGCACCGTTATGAAAAGGAAGCGTCCCCTAGTTTGAATCAATTCTTGTGAACGGTTTAATCAACAAGGTTTAAGTAAGTAATGTGAATGTTTTTGTAGCGCTGCCGTCGGAACATTACGAATTACAGTGGTCGGATTATGCTTTGAAAAGCCACGTTTAAGCCACGGTCACCCCGTGACTGGAACATGGAATGTGCTTAGCTGGCAAATTTACAAAACACAGATTTCATTAGGATTAGAGAGATGGTAAGTTTTGAGCTCGGTGAAGAAATAGAGAGAGATGTGTTTCGTCTTGTCACTAGCGTGGGACAAAGAAAAAATTCTGAGTTCCCATGAGGAATCGAACCTCCGATGCTCTACCACTGAGACTCTTCGTTGAGCGAGTTCTATTACGAAGTTCATGTGACGCGCGTCTTGCATACTGCTAGGATCAGCAATGTCGATAGCGTCATATTTGTAGATAGAATAAGACAGATGGTAAGGTTTGAGCTCGGTAAAGAAATAGAGAATGGTTTCATTGTTTGTATCTCAGATAATATTCAAATAATCTTAGTCACAGACTAGTATCACGAGTTATATAGGGATTGGGTTTGACACGGAAAAAACGTCCGCAAAAAAAAATCGAATGAATATCAAACAGCCCGGGACTAAAAATTATTCATGTTCAATGTCATCTCGGGCAACCATTAGTTTAAAACATTACTAAATGATTAAAAATGACACCATAGCTTTTAATATGCTAAGGTTGTTATAAGACTTAACGTAACCTTTGAAGACTTCAAGGTTCATTTCATTCACACTGCTTTGCGTCCTAGGTGATATTGGTTGCTTTTAATATTGATTTTTTTTTTCGGAAGGGATGCGATTCAAAGGAAAGGAAGATTATTTCATAACAAAATAAACTCATAAAAAATATTGTTTCCAGAAGTTTTTACCGCTTGCACTTGAACCGCTAGAAAGTTCCCTCTTCGGCTTCGGCTAAATCATTGACTACTTTAATGAAAAAACGTATGTGATGAGATGACATGTAAAAAGGAAGAACTTGCAACATAATTAAGGTAACTCACAAAAATGGAAAAGTCACGATATCTTCCGCAGACGAAAAGGTGCATCACGAAATGACTTTAGAAGGTGTTGCACTTTGTCTTCGACTTTGTCCTCGACCAATACTGGTAATATGGGTGTTTCTTAATTGAGTTATTTGTTTGTCGCTTTACGTCATCTTGATAACAATGGCTGCTAGAATTTTCCATCTGTTAGTAAGGTTCGACAAATTATAACTTTTGTTGAACGAAGCTAACACGAAACCCACTTTTCTCTCCATGGTCTCACGAATCTGGTATGGAAACGATTTTTTACTCCTTATTTCCACCAACAGCCACATAAATTACAGCTTTTATATACTGGGAAATAAAATTCGAATGCAGTGTCGAAAAAATCTGCATTTCCTGTGAAGGGTCGCGCTAACCTCTAAACCAATCTAACGCAAAACTGAAATCATTCTTGACTTGGTTACTCGCGTTTTTCAGCGCTTCAGGAGGTTGCGTGTTTTTGCTTTAATCATTTAGTGTCTTCGTGTATTATTTCCTTTGTTTTACTTGACTATTGTATTTACTTTCAGCTGGTTGTTACTTCACGACACGATAGACCTTGATTCACGTGAAAACATCACTCGCGGAGAAAAAAAAAACATTGCGCAAAATTCCTCTGTATTAAGCTCATATAGAAACTCGCTGACAATAGACAGAGCGTAAGGGTACATGGATTAATTCTTTATGATTTTGTCGGTCATTTTGGGCAAAAAGTACCGCATTTCCTAAGATTTAGGAGAAATCACTTTAAATTTCTCCATTTGAAAGAAGTTGGCTTCTATGAAATAACGCGTTTTTGATAATAAGAATGATAATGGTAATAATTATGATGGAAAAATTATATTAATACTTAATTCTCATGGCGCAATCTCCAATGATATCTAATCGTACTTTACTATTTATGGCAAATAAATCCAATAAAACAAAATAACATTAAGAAAAACTGCATTTACAGGCTTGAGGAGAATGTCTTTTAAACGAAATGTCTAAATGAAGCAAATACAATTATATGTAAAAGCTTTCTTTAAAAAAGAAAAAAAGAAAAGTTAATGAGAAATGAACATTTATATCAATCTTAAACAAACTAGTACTGTGTTAGAAGTAAAAAATAATTGTTTATGACAAGGCTTGATCCTTTTTCATATTCTTCGTTAGACCACCTTTCCCAAAAAAGAGAGTTTTCCCTGGACCAGCTTAAACAAAATGTTTTGTAATGCGATTACCGATTCTAGACTCTTTCCGATATATCTTATGACCCTGGCAAGTATAATGATAATAAAAATAATGATGATGATGATGATAATAATAATAGGGATAATGATAATAATATAAGGAAGTAATGAGAAAATTATGATGATAATAATATTTAGGCTCAAGCACAATTTTTCAAAATGTCCTCTTCACAATCTGTTTATGGAAATTTACAGGTTCATGTTGGTGAAACACATCCTGATACTCTTTGCTTTGGGCCAAAAGTCGAGGCCATGAAATACGCCTGCGATTTTGTCAGCTTAGAAAAATTTTGTAAAAGTGATAATATTTGTGAGACCTATGTTTCAAAAAGATAGATTGTTGAGCTGAAGATTGAAGAGAGAGAGATTATTAGAAAAGGATTTTCCTTGTCACAAAAAAGGAGATTACTACAGATCTAGATAAACAATTACATGTACGAGTATAAGGAAGGAAACTGATACCCTGCAAACCATCTATGACGAACAAAATTTATCTGTTTTAACCACTAAATAGAGAGCAGGTAATTTAATGAAATGCGACCGGCTAACTTCTCTATTGATAGGAAGGCATCAGCCACAACCCCAACAATATTAAGGGATAATCTTAGGCATAGAAAAGCTTTTTTGTAAGGCCTGCTTCTCCATATTGGTTGAAGCCAAACCAACACGCTGTTTGTCTTGCACATGTAGGGGTCATCTATCTCTATGCTGTATCCTATCAGAAGTTCTAATGATAAATAGCACATATTATTTGAAGGTATTCAGTGCTACGCCAATTGATGCAGAAGGACACTTTGCTCGTATGCGACCAAAGAAGGCTCGTGAAATGAATTTACAACAACTTTTAACTTTCAACTTTCAACTTTATTCAGTTTTTCAATCGGCCACCTCTTGGAAAGATTATAATGGTTGGGAGGATGAATGTCATTTTGTTTATTGGCGAATAAGTATGCAAGTGAGTAGCATACTCTGATGCAATTCATATTATTAGGACACTTTTGATAGTAGGTTCCGTGTTAATTTCTAGGGCTACAAAGCACGCAAAATGCGCAAAACATTTCCGTCATCTCGGCACACTTAGTGCAAACTCATCATTCTTTGATGCCGTCATCACTTGCGCGGCTCTTATTTTAAATCCCCAGATGAAGATATGACATATGCAAAACTGTTGTTCTTGATTTTCTTCAGAAGCAAACCACTAATATTCGAATCTTCCCTTTCATTATTCCATGATTTTCGGTTCTTTTTTCAGACTAAAAAATCGATGAAAATTTTTATTTCATGTAGCCTAAACGTTTTTGGAAGTTTTCTGCTGCGCCTTCACGGATCGATTCATAACAATAACGCTTATTCGAAGCAGAAAATTCGAGCCCTTGTAAATCAAGAGTAACTGAAACACACTAAGACAGTTTTGGATTTCTGCAGAGTCACTGTAATTCAACTTCCTGAACTCTTCGATTTTGTGAAGTCGTGCCACTCTTGAAAGCTGAACACGTATTTATTTACCACTCGCGGAACATGTTACCATATATTTTAACATGCGTACAACTGCGCACTTCTTTGTCTGTTTTTTTTTTTTCCAAGGAAGGAGTAGGAGGGGTCACGCAGGACCAACGTAAATGGAGCACAACAAGAAAAATCGCATATCATCTCTCAATGAGCTTGTTCCACCATTATTGTAGCACGAGGAAACAAAATGGCTCCATAGGACTCTGTTAATAATAATTCAGTCATCTTTGCAATATTTTTTGCCACGTCTATGAGCCGGTCGAACGAATGTTTATCACGCATGCATTTCGAAATCAATTATGAGGTGAAACATAAACCACAAAGACGTATTGGTCAGGAAGCTTTGTGATCCACTGTATTTATTACATCTTAAGGAAGCCAGTGCTTAAGTCTGAGTAACTTGCTCTCAGGCGTTCTTCGTTAAGGAAAGGTGAGAACGTCAGAACAGTTCTAGATTCGGCCGTGAGAATTATTTAATTATTTGTTCATTGTTTTCTGACCGACCTTCTCGCCGATGCAATCAAGTTTGAGTATGACGTTTACTGAATTGAGAAACTGCTCCAATGCAGCATAATCTTGCACTCTTTACCTCTTGATAATCTTAAAATCAAAATTATAGAATTGAATAACAAATAGATAAAGGGTACACCGTGATGTACAAAGATGCAGACGGCATTAAGGTCGCTTTTTCCTGTTTGGCTTAAACATCACCACAACTTCGGCTCTTTTAGAATTGATTATAAAGTACAGATGTCTGATATCAAGAATTACATCAGTGAAAGTTCCGCAAAACATCAATTTGCAGCGATAATCTTTAAATCAAACCAACAGAAATGAATAACAAATCTGCTAATCCGAATACATAAAGGACTACTATTTTCACTGTGGTGTACAAACTGATGGATGCTGACGGCATTAAGTTAACGTTCGCTTTTTCCTGTTTACCTTGAGCACCACCATAACGTCGACTCTTTTAGAATTGATAATAAAGTACAGTTTTCTGATATCAAGATTGAAATCAGTGAAAGTTCAGCAAAAACATCAATACGCGGCGGTAGATGATTGAAAAAATGAGAATACAAACAAACAATCCTAACAAATGGGAGCAGGCTAGAATTCGAAAGCAATGATCTCAACAAGCTAAAATTTTAATCCGTATTACACAAGTTCTTCCATCTGAATTTCACGTGACTTCTTCGTAAAGCGCATTTAATACAAACGGTGCAAATTTTAATTATGAGTAATAACAATTTCACCTTGATAATAAAATACGCTTTGGGAGTCCTGAATTTATTTTTAGAGGATTGTTCAAACGTTACCCTAGTTTTCGAGAAAGAGAAAACATTGCAACCAAGGAAAAACTTAGCCTGCTCATACGGTCTACTGCTTCTTTTCGGCACATGCGTCCGCGGTTTTTACGGTTATGATTTCTCTCCCACAAGTTCAAATTAAAGGATGGAAACTTCCGCTGACTCATTGCATAAGTCAGCAGGATTTCTGTTATAGTCCACTGCGGGAGAGACAACTTTAAGAGTTGCTTTTATCCATCCGCACTTTAATACTATTTCACTCAGAGAAAATAATCCGTATCGTTTATCATACAATTAATAATAACATCTTAAAGCTGCCAAAGACCAACGTGTTGGGGTACCTGGCACCGATTATGGAACTCGATAACGGACAAAATTAGATCGGTGCTATCTTTTAAGGTGTTTAAAACAGCGTAAGAAAATTAGACTTTCTAGGTCTATCTTATTCGCACTTTCTTTTTTTTTTTTATTATTTTAAGGTGACATTTAGATTTTTAAGTCGTGTTGATATTTCTTGTAACGAAATTTTTTATGGAAATTTTATTACTCAACCGAAACAAATTTTATCATTAAGTTCCATTTACTCATTCTATTTATTACATTTTAATTAGTCTTCTGTGTAATATCTGCAAACTAACACGTCTTCAGAAAATCGAAGTGGTCAGGAAGTTGAGTTAAAGTGACTCTGCGGAAATCCGAAAGTACCTTCGTGTGTTTCAGCCCACGCTTGATTTACAAGGGTTTTTCATCATGGCTAAGTGTATTTTCACGATAACCCACTATGTATCTTAAAAGTCTTGAGGTCCACTGTTTCTTTCAGTTTCAATCGCCGCGGCTTTTGCGATTGTAATTTTCCTTTCGTAAGTTTGAGGTAATTTTATGTAAACTTCCGCTGACTCACTGCATAAGTATCATTGTGGCAGAGATATTTTAAGTATTAAAGGTATGCATTGTTAAGGCTCCTGTCAACAGCTGGGGTCAAAGTCACTGAGGCATCGATTAAACTGTTGAAGTTACCCCTTACACAGACTGAATTTTAAATTTTTAATTTTTTACACCTCCAAATTCACTTATTTTTCTCTAGTTGATTAAAGCTGAGGGATTGGGAAAGACAAAAATTAATGTGAATGCACTGTAGAGACCTTACACTAGATTGTTTCAAGGTAGATCAGGAAAAAAAGCATTCTTAGGATTCTAGATCATATTTCATTAGCACTGGCTGACCTAAGTTCAGCTAATTCCACAAGTCTTGTTCATCGCTTTTACGGCTTCTTTTTTCAGCGCATTTTATCGTGATTTTTGTGTCATGTATAGGTGATGATATGATATGCCTCAGTGTAAAAACAACGATCGATATTCGCCAGACTGACTCTTAAGTCCATATCAACACTGAGGGAGAGCAGTGTTGAGCTCAGTGATTAGAAAAAGTCCTACCGAAAAGAGACCTTTTTATTTTTAAGAATGAGAGGTGAAATTTTTAGAGATACAACCAAAATATTGTGACCTGGTATCTACTTTACAAAGCACGCACGGCCAGGTTCTGTTTTGACTCGTCAAGCGCTCTCCTTGAACTGCACCGGTGCGTAATGTAAAATACTAATTATGATGCAACAAACAAAGATATCTGGCATTCGTTGTAAATGCTCCAAAAGACCTTACACAGTTCAAAAACCTCATCGAAAAAAATCCAACAGACACGTGCTAAAGTCAATAAAAGCCCTTGCATGAGCTTACATTTTGTTTTATTTTCATCTGGTGTACATGATATCAAAAAGAAAATTCGAAAAGGACACGTAGATTTCTGATATTCATCTTTTTCTCGTTAACTTACGTTTTCCATTTTATCACTGCACCGGCATCAATTGTTGTCGATGGTTATTTTATCATGAGCCATTTTAAAACTTGTTGAATTACAAGGGGTTTGAACGGTGATGCAAATATCTTCAAGTTAATTTTTCCTTCCCACAAATCATGATGGTTTGTATCAAAATAGATCATTGTAGTCCAGAAGAATAGACCGTGATAGGCAGTATATATTTGTGGTTGTATCAATCAGAAATGTACATTTCTAGTATGCAGTTTGTTATAAAGTTGTAAAGAGGAATCTTGAAAAACTGGAAAAAACCGAATTGGAAGACCTGTCCATAAGAGTATATAGTAATTTAGTGTTAACAACTGAATTGAAAATGTTAATTGACCAGCGTAAGGAGTTTAAAGTCTGACGTTTCGAGCGTTAGCCCTTTCGTCACGGCGATGGACGACAGCTAACGCTCGAAGCGTCAGCCTTTAAACTCCTTACGATGACCAATTTACATTTTCAACTTAGTTGCTCACACTAAATTACCTGTTATACTCTCCCACCGACGCAGCACCACAGTTTCTTCAGAAATTTATCCCCTTTCTTCATAAGAGAATATAGTTATACAGATGTAGAGGCGTCAGAAAACTTTACATCCTGAGGGATAACATCCTTAGCGACAGTCTCATATTGGCAAGATTCGTTGTGGCCCGGTTCTATAGGTTTAAAAAGACAAAAAAAAGAAATTAAAAAGATGAACTCTATAGCTGGTTGGACTGACTTTGGGTTTTTAAGGAAGTTAAAGAAAAATCAAGCAAAAATAAATTTGATTTATTTGAGGAGATGCGAGTTTTCTTCTTCCCTTCTGCTCAAATAAAAGTTTAATATAGCCCAATCCTTTTCCTCTCCAAGGTAAAGGGAGGCGGGGGATTGAAGTAAACTATCCTAATTTCATTTCATTTGATTTACGTAATTAAATGCTGTCTTAGAAACTATATTTATCCCAAGAAACGCCGCGATGTTTGGCTGTGTATTCCGTAAACCACTGTCTATTTTAGCGTAAATTATATGGCTTACCTTCCATCCATTCATTTAAGTTGACAACTCTTAAGTCATCACAATACGTCAGGTTATTGGACCCACTCCTCTCGCGGAAAACATTTGGGGTAATTTTCAGAATTCCATCCGAGTTGTCGCACAGAACTCGAGCTAGAGTTGCATTTCTTATTGCATTCAGCTGACCTGTGGTAAATCCAGTGTAGGAATCGTTCCTCTCGTACCAAAACCGGTCTCCAACGCGAAGATTTTCAAATCCTCTGGTGAGAATACAAGAGAAAGTTCCACCTAGTATGCTTCCTGGTAAAGGGGCCTCACTTACTCCCCCTACATACAAGTCTATGTCGTCTACGTTATCATTGTATGCCATTCGTAGTCGTTCCCTCTGTGTCGCGTTTATGTTCGTGAGATCGTCAATGGACGCGGCACGCACCAGACCACACATACCCCTGAACTGGTTGTATGGGGGTAAACCGTGATCACGGCCACGTTGGATGTTTATGGCGGCGAGATCGCCCACGATACCTTCAAATGTTGAGCCTTTCATCAAGAGGTTCTCTCGCACGGCTGGTGCAAAAAACCTGAAAGGTATAAATGTTTTAAATATCACTACGCCGTATTCAGATTTCTTCTCTTGTTTATTGGCATCATCTTCGTTTCTCGTTCATTGACATCATCGGTCCCACAGGCCGCCGTGGGTACCATTGGGTTCTTTCGACTGCCACCCTGTTATTTTGTGAACGTTATTATTTTTAAGATTTGAGGTATTCTAGTAATCATTGTCCTCACTATCTTGCGGGTTTCTCTGGGCCTCTGCTTATCTAAGCTATTAATTTATCACTTAATTTATCAAAGGGTCTTATCATGGATTCTCTGATTCTGCCGATAGGAGCTATTCCAGGCATCTCCATAGTAAAAGTAGAAAAGATACACCTACCTATCCACTTTTTGAGACGTTTGGGTCACAAGTCCTAAAAGGATTCCAGTCAAACCATTACCACTCTTTGCATACAAAGGTGACGGGTCGAAGAAAGTTTTGGTTGAAATTGACCCACGCTGTCTGAATTGCCTACCAAATTGTCCCAAGTTGTCTTTTATTAAGGTGTGACCAACTCTCAAAGCTGCCGTAGCAAAGGCGTTCGTTATTTCTGGGTTAACTTGCGAGTTATAACCACTAAAAAAAGTGTCTTTTGGTTCTAGTAAGATGTTTGCACGTCTTCGCTGAAATAGAGAAAGAGATAGGGTACATAAGGTACAGTTAAGAAAAGATGTGTTATTCTTTTACTTCCAAGATATGATTATTAATTCTCCCCACTAGCTGCTACACATTTCCTTGTAAATTAGTCACGAGAATTTGGTGTTAGATTTAGATAACAACTTTCACCTGGTAAGTTCAGTTGCGCATTCTCATTACAAGTTTAATTTGTCAAGAATAAAGTAATTGATATTATGGGGAGAAGTTTCAAGGAGAATTTACATCGCTTCGGGGAGATAAGTGTTCGTGAAGTTTAAAATGGCGAGGATAACCTTGCACAACCTAGCCGTACCCTCCCCCTCCAAGGTGAAATGGAAGCGAGGGAACGTCTACGAAAATCGAAAACCTCACTCTCTTGTAGGAAAATATATAATGACTTTTTATTGGTTAACCCCTTTTGCCGATTCTTTCGTGAATTCTGATTGGCTAGAGTTGGTCGTTTATTTTCAAACTAATGAACAAAGTGGTGAACAGAATGCTTTCCTACTTTTCAGACAACAGCGATCTACGACGAGGTTTTCAAGGCAAGTTTGCGCGACTTTTGAGATAGGGACATTTTAAGAAGAACAGCAGAAAGCTATAGATATGTTTTTCGAAGGTAACGATGTCATTTAGACACTTACCAGATCTTCATTGAAAAAGATAGGGAGCCATTCGTTATATGTTATGTGCTGTAACTTAGCGATCACAATTTTTCGAGCCTCTTGGAATAGCCTCTCATCTTGCCATGGTGGATTAAGAACATGAAGATAGTTTGCGATACGATTGTGTTCGCGAGCCCAGATTGTGTGCATGGCCACCAATGCTGTAAACAATTCATGGAGATTTGCCATTTTTTAAAGTAAATATTGGAAAGGCACAGAAAGAAAAGTTAACATTAATGACAAAGAATAGGCTTTCCCAACAATATCGGGTTTTTTTGGGGACAGCAAGTAATCTGTTCAGCTTAGGAACAGTTCATTATTTATCACCTGAGTGGGGTCGGAGGAACTTTATTGTGTCACGATAAAATTAACTTAATTCCCCCTCAAGGCTCTGTTATATCCTTATGATCCCAGCCTCTTGGCAGTCTGTTTCCTACAGTCCCCAGTTACACTCTGTTTGTGGTGACTGATTCCCCTCCTCTGTTCTCCTGAAAACCATTTGATTACCCAAACCCCCCCCCCCCTTTGCAAGCTATAAATATGAACATTTTTCTTCATCTATCATTCAAACAATCATTTACAGGGATATTCTAATGCAAGAGGAAATATGAACACACCTCGTAAAACGTGTAGTACCAATGCCCGCCAACTAGAAAAGCGATATTCGTTAAGAAGGAAATTTACGTTACCTGGGTTTTCATTTACTCTTGCATGGTCGCCAGCCAAGAAACAAGGCTTTTTCGTAGGATTATGAGACCTACAGAATGTCTGTGCCTCAGCTTTTGGCAGGAGAGGAGATTTGGCGGAGCTCAATGGGAATGAAGCAACTCGAAGAAGACCAAGGTTAGCTGTGCGGTCACGAAGGAGATCAGCTTCTCTTCTGTTTGCTCCATATATCTGGGATCCATCAATGAAAGCTGACACCAAATTTACCTGAATATATTTAAAAGATAAGATTATTGAAATTTTGATAAATGTGACAACATTGGCTCGTTTTCTCTAATATCAGCTGTTGCCCTTAATGTTTACAAATAGAAAGTATGAATTACAGCTAAATTGTTAGAACAGTATTTTAGTTTAATGAAAAAATTTTGTTAAAAAGAGGTACCCCAAAAAGGCAGGCAAAAATTAAAAATAAAATTTTATAGAATGTACGAAACCAGCCTTCTATGTGTCTAATTTCTACTTATGCGCCACAATAATGTATCCAGCGGTCTTCCACCAAACCGCTACATTCAAAATGGAGGTCGGCGGGATTATGTAACCATAATAAAACTCAGTTGTGGACAAAGCATTCGAAAGACGCCGAGGAAGAGATCCTTTCGACGAAAATATCTTTGCAGTAAGCCCGTGAAAGAATTTTTTTTAATGGTCTCACTGAGTTGGCCACAAAAGTTGCGAGTTGAAGTTGTTGCTTGTTGTTTCGTAAATTTCGATGTGGGACCCAAAACAGACAAATGGAAAAGTGCAGAATTTCCTTATTATCATACAACTGAGGTCTTAAATGTGGCCCTGTAGTTAAGGGATCCTGATCTGTTAAAAGTCGTATAGTCAAGAGGGGGAAACTTGGAAGTGTTTTTGCTAGCTATGTGGCGCCCACGCAAATATCGCAGTTAGTGAGCAAAGGGACGTAAAGGAAGAACACATGAGATCAAGGTAAGTTTGTTTTAACATTGGAATTTGCGAAGTCGGGGATTTTCTGGTAGAAAATTGTACTACTATTCATGGGGAAACTTAACATGATCTTGCATCTATAAGGTAAAGGTCCCGGTTGTTCGAAGGGTGAATATTAATAACGCTATCCACTGGATAAATCTCTATCTGGTGGATAGCGTAGTACTTTTCTTTGACACTTAACCGCTGGATAACGATTTATCCGTAGGATAGCGCTATCTGCCCTTTAACCCTTTAACCTCTTAACTCCCATGAGTGACCAAGACAGAATTTCTTCTTACAATATCAATGCAATATCAACCAGATAAGTGATGAGAATAAAGAAATTATCAATTTGGGGATAATAAGTTGATCCAATGCTAAATTCTCTGAACTAACATTATAAGAATTGTGTGGTTGACAGTAAGGAGAATGACACATTTTATCTGGGAGTTAAAGGGTTAAACAACTGGACCCAAGACTTTAAATATCTTCATGCTGCCTCTAAAATGCTTCAGATAGTGATGATAATGCATCACACAAATAAATTCATGACTGGCTTTTAAATTTTTCTGCTTGGCTAGCTCAGTGTTGATCAGGATCTATAGCTCTTTGCCTTCACTGAGAAGCCAAGGAGAAACAGAACCGCTCCTTTTTCCACTTGAATTACAGACGAGGAACTGTTTTGACAAATGAGGCAAATGTTCCAGAAAACAATAAGTACAGAAATTGCAACTGGACTGTGGTGTATGATTGTTTAATGTTATAATGAGATGTAATGTGAAATAAAGTTAACTGAATTTAGTTGAAAACAGGGACTATAAAGTAACGGGCATTCAAAGGAATTTAGTCTTTACAATTTTATGCATGGAGTTTTTCATTAGTGGGTGAAAATTAAAGCTCAGCACTTGACAATTTTGACAAGAGAGTGAAATCAATGTTTGCATAAAAATGCAACTTTGGCAAAGAACTTTAGCAGCAGTGTTAACAACTGTAACAGTGAGAAAAAAAACTTGGAGATCATTGGGTACATGTAGTTACTACTTGCAACCCTATACTTGAGCTTTAGTCCAAAAATCTAACATAAAAACAATTTTCTCATGATCAAGTCAGAATTTACTTCTTTCATCTTAATCAGACTTTGGTGAGTTACTTGTAGTCTGAACCTCGGCTGTCATTCAGCAGATGCATGCTCATGGAATCTGAATGAACTCACACTGGGTCAGTCCAAGGTCAGGCAACATAATGCTTGGTCTTCTTAGATGATGATCTTCATCACAGAGGAAGATTAGGTATGTTCTTATCCTTAAGCTATATATATTTATTTGTTAAATTAAGTAATTTTGCTAAAAGTCCATGAATTTAGCTGACAAGGAAATAAACTTATTCTTGTTAAGTATAATATTGTTTAAAAATGAACTAACATGCCATGATTATCAACAAAAAAAAAAACAACAAGAATGCAATCAAGAGAGTAGCAAAGGGCAATTTACTTCTCGATACGAGATTGATGGCCCATGTTTCTTTCACTGTTTCAGCCTTTTGAGCCGATTTTTCTTTTCATTTTATCTCATTATGTTTAATTATTGTCAGAGCTTAACATGTTTGATAGTATTAGGAAACAAGAATTATTTTGTTTATTGCTATTGGGGAACCACCATCTAGACCTTCTTTTTAAAGTGGTACGTATTTTAAACTTTCAAATGCAATGAAATGAGACTCGAGTTTGTCCATCACTAACCTGTTCGCCGTCTTGTATGGCTGACCGACGCAGTGGAATGCAAACTGCACTTCGGTTATCTTTCAATTCATTCCCCTTAAGTATGTCGATGCTGATGCATCCCTCGTCGTGTCCCCTGCAAGGAAGGCTGTTATTTCCACAATCAGCTGTGTTGTTTCCTTGGGTTAAAGTGATGTCATGATCTAAAAACTGGCCCCACGTCATTGTTACGTGAGTGAAATTCGGTGTCATGTTGTCGTCGTTGCCTGTCGAGCTGACGAACACAATCGTGCTGATGTTCCTTGCGTTCGGAAGTGACTCGTTGTTCGATCCGAGTGTTCGAGGTGCATACGTGCCGTCTTCGTAAGCTGGCGGTAAAAGGCGGGCAAACGGTCTGAGGGCACTGCCTTTTGTAATGTTGCACAAGTTATTGCACGAGCCGTCATAAGTTCGGTAACGACGTCTGAAGCAGATTAACTGAACGGCCAAGGGCACTGGCTCACACTTTTCTGTTAGTATCGATTGGAGGACATCACGCGTGAACAAATTTCCAACAGATAAAGGGATCTTCCACATTACCATCAGCAAGATAAAACATAGCAGAGACCTGTGTCAAGTTTTTTAAATTAGTGCAAATTCAAAATTTTTCTATGTATAATTACGTTAAGATGAGCACAATCGCTTAAATATTTTAGACCACTTGCATTATTTCTCTTAAATGGTTTTTAACTCTCGCCTGACTTTCCCATCGACTCAATACGAGGTTTATTTTTAAGACAATGTGCACCATTTATATTCAAGACATAACTCCCAAAACGTTAGCTAGAGAAAGCCTTTTGTTCAAAATAAGTACTCTTGGCTAATCATAGGCACGTCTTAATAAACAAAAATTACTCTTTTTTTTAACTTCTCCGTAAGTCTGGAAAACCAGACTTCTTTCTTGGATGAGTCTTGAGAAATAGAAAAAAAAAAAAAAAGGAAAAATGAGATCTAAAAATTTATTTGTGATTGAAAAGAAATATCAACATAATTAACTCAAAATAGAAAACTTAAATCTCTTTTTTTATGCGGCAAACGCTTTTTATGGCGGTAGTTTAGTCATAATGTCTCGATGGCAGACAGGAAAGTCTCTCACATTTCCGCTTTTCTAAACCGCCTATATTATAGAAATAATTTGATTTTATTGACTGAGTTGAAAATGTAATTTGACCATCGTGAAGAGTTTCTCAAGCTGATGTTTCGAGTGCAAGCCCTTCGTCAAAATCAATTATCCCGCAATACCCCTACCTACGCAGCACCACAGTTTTATTTATTTACTTTTTTTTTTTCAGAAACCTACCCCTTTATTCATCTGTTTGATGAAATGTAAAGCTAGTTATTTAGTTTGCTCGGTAAAAAGCACTTGAGCGGCTATGAAGAAGGCTTAGAACTAGAGTTAATTGCAGATACAAGAGGTTTTCTTCGGCGTCTTTCACCTCAACGGCTTTCATTCCGACAAGATTATCAACAAACTACGGAGGTCACGCGTCTTAATTTATACATTACTCAGACTTTACATACGTACATCCGCGAATGAGACCTCATCATCCGCCTTGTCTTTTCGGTTCCACCCACCATCTGACATTAACTGGAGAGATTCGTGGGAGAAGCAGAGAGCTCACAGCACCAGATAGACCCAATCTACGATTTGAGGTCACGGTAGCTCTTGTTCTCATACGTTGTATATAGCTTCACCATTTAAAGTCCATGGGAAATTCTGGAAAGTCATTGGCTTGCGCGTTTACTTTTATGCGCTAATGATTTCCCCCTCATTTCCAAACAATTTATGACCTTAAAGTGGCAATTTTGCCTCGACGAAAACTTATATTTACATCGTCTTTCTCTTGAAAGCTGTTTATGATTTATTCACGTCGCCATTTAGACAATAAATAATATTGAAGTATCATCCTCGTCGGAGCTGACCACATCGTGAGACAAACTATTTTACTTCGCTGCAAGTGTGTTCACAACGATTAACGATTTTTTGCGATAGTATAATGAATAATACGGTAACTTTTGGCGCTATTGTAGATTTTATTTCAAAAATCATTGCCACCTCTTTCAGAGAACTCGGCTAGAGAATTGAAAGGTGACACTCCATGCAGTATTTGAATTATTGAGTGCCTTCGGCAACGCTTGCGTTGTTTTTCCGTGATTCATTCACTTTAGTCTCCAACCACTATATAATTCGTTATATATTTTTTCTTTTTGTCTTTGATGAATGTGTCGAGGGGATAAAAAGGAAACTCACAACTCGGTGTTATGCTTATTTGAGGCCAATTCATTGTTGCAAAGGGCCGGTAAGGAGCTTAGTCGACTCTTTGTCTTTTGCATTTGTTGTTTTTGTTCTTCTACTCTTTCTGTTTGCTTCTCTTCTATTTCGCTGATTAGTTCTTCCGTTTTTTTTTTTTTTCGTCCTTTCGGTCCGTGCGTCTCTGTTACTTTTCTTTGTTATCTTACTATTTCACCCTTTTGATCTTTTGTTTTTTACTCTACTTCCACTCGTTTTGCTTCTCTAATTTTCGTGCCTCAATGGTCTTTTGTCCTTTTCCTAGTTGTTCGTTGGGCCGGTTCTTTTTTCGAGTTAGTTGTATTTTAATGCTGAAAAAGAATGCCTTGGTACAGGTATAGAAAAGACATAATTTCTCGTGTCTTCTTAGATGTTACGGAATTCTTTCGAATAACACTCCTTGCACAAGTAAGAATCCATGCAAGAAAGCTTTTAAGGTGTCACTGTGTTTTTGATTGCAACGTCAGCATTCTCTGTTACTTGAAAGTCCTCGGAAAACGTAACAAACTGCGCCCATGGCCTAAATTCTTGACACAAAACTCTAAGGCACAGGCCAAAATGATATCGCCAACAACAAACACTTACATACCTCATTAATGCCATCATGTTGAGTTTCCTCTTCGCTTTTTTGTTAAGTTACACCTTTGTAGAAAAAAAAGACAGAACAAAATTTACAAATATTTCAGTTTTACCTCACATAAACGTAAAAATGTTTGAGAACCACTTCAGGAACATTTATGAAACATAGTATTAACTATTGCTTATCTAACTCTCGAACAAGTGTCAAAAATTATTATAAGTTTTATCAACCCACCATTGGCACCTAGGAAGGTTTTTTTCCAACTCATTTCATGTATAAAAAACCTCACTATGATAAAAGGTTCTGGGCTTAAGTTTCTTGTATTATACCGAGGTGGAAAGAAAAAGTGAGAAAGAAGCCGTTGTCGGCTACCTAGACTCAAGATTAACACGTTACCTTCGCTAAGAAAGCTTGATGGTATTGCCAAATGGAAAAGTGGGGAGTCTAGCTTAAGTAGAGCAAGATCAAGCTCACATAAGCTCATGCTTATTCCTGACAACGAACGATAATATTGTTCACTTCGCTGATATTGTTCAATATTAGAAATAATTTATTATATTATGATAAATTATTTCAAATATTGAACAATATCAGCGAAGTGATATTTCCCCCATGCTCCGTTGCACATATAAAAGTCCGTACGGCTTAAGCACTAAATATTAAAACGAAAACTGAAGCAACTTTATTTAACTTGCGTTTTCCTAACTAGGAAAAACGAATATGAGGTCCTACATCTTTTAAAGAGCACAATCCCAGTTCGATATTTGTTACGATACATTATGATTTCATGAATTGTTACGTAGAAGACTGCTTGTATGCACCGTTGAAATCGCTTAACTACTCGTACGTGCTCATGAAGGAAAGATGAAAATTCGCAATATTTTTAAGGGTAGTGTGGTACGATTATAGTAAACAAGTCCAGTTGTTAACTTAACTTCCTAACATGCCTCTGAAACTTGCACAATGCATGTTTTGTTTTCAAAACAAATGTATTTTTGGAAGATCCAGGAAATATTGATTTCAGAATCAATAACATTCGATGTTTGATTCGATTGTTTTAAAGTGACTCGTAAAAAAACAAAAAAAAACCACATGAGAGGATTGGTTCGGCATCTGATGCGCGTAACAAAGAATTAGAAGAGACGATGTTTATTTACAGGCTATTTTTTTTGGTAAAAACTCAAACTTTGATGCTTGTGATTGAAACATGATGATAAACGTGTACTTGCCCGACCTTTTTATTTACATTTATTGTTCGTAAGTGGCTGCTAAGTGGAATACCAAATATCTTGCAAATTGGACAAAATAATTTGATTTACAGTCCTTCTTATTTTGACCAGTGTGGTTTTTTCGTCAACATAAAACTTTACGCAAGATATTTTAAGATTTTTTTACCATGATAAACGAATTAAGCATTTTTCTCTTAGTGACCAACGTGGATGGAAAATTCTTAAGACCTTCCACTTTCGCATTTTTGCCCAAGGTTCCCATGCCAATACCGAAGTAAACTACTTTTTCGTAGAATCTATAAGATTTGCGTTTTAATCTTTACTATAACTGCCACAAACAGGACAAAAAAGACAATATAATGCCCTAGAAAAAAGCGTTACCCTCGAGATCAAGGATTTACTTTGTTAAGGACACAATCGCGAGCGCTTTCTAACTTAAGTTTCCGCAACTGTAGATAAGTTGTTTGTTATAAATATTAGCCAGTATTTTGTTATAGTGGACGCCGTGATTGCAAAGTGCCAGAGAAAGAGGTATCAATACAGGACACGTGTTTTTGAACATTTTGAGCGTGATTTCAGGCCGTTTATATTGGACTAAACTTGTGCAAGGTCGTTTAGGAAACAATCATGCATTGTAACTGGCGGACCATTATAAGACATTTCTTAGCATCTCGTATACAATAGGGGCCACTGTAAGTTATCTTGACTTCTTGAATAAAACACGCCCCGTGAGGTGTGCGTTTGACTAAGTAGTAATAGTGCGAAGCGTGGATGCGACGTTGCTTTTCCATAAAAATACGTATTGACGCTCTTAAAATCGCGTTTGGCGCCACGCATCCCGTCGTTTTGTTCACCCACCATTCGCCGCGCGTCCCGACGTGTCCAGTGGCACCACCCTTCGATGCCGCCACCCCAAATATGGTGATCTTTCTGAGGGTGTTAGAGATTTATTTCAGTGCCATACGTAGTCTTCAGTTGAATAGAGTTGGAAATGTTTTGTTTACATATGTTTACAGAGTTTACTTGCATGCATTTGTTTCTTGATTTGGACTAGTTAACACCGAACAAGACTGTATTTTCATATGTTAAGTCCGTGAATTTTCTATGAGCATGCGATTTTTGGTAAAGATGTTGTTAACGCTGAGCGACCCTCGCCCTTCTTAGTTTACGAATTTGATCACACCACAGCTCAGTGAATTTGGAAAACGCGTTCAAAGCTTTTAAACTTATGTCAGTGAGCCTCTTTGATGTTGAGTGGCCAAAAATTAGATTCTGGCCGAGCTCTTGGCCCATCTGGAGGTTTCCCAGACCCTCTTCATCCTCTTTCACCATTACCGTTCTTCGCTGAGATTTTAAGAATGAGAACAATGAAACCCTCTTAACAAATGATCAATGTGAGGTAAATTTAGTCGGAGAGTTTCTTGTCTCATCCTAGAGGTTTTTAAGTAAAACTTTTAAAATAGATAGCACCTTATATGGTAGAAGGAAATGGAACACGTAACTGAAGTCTCACAAAAAAGTTTTGTGGACAAGCGAGACGTTTGAGTGGCTCAGTCACTTTTCATTGCTGATGGAGAATTATGATGTTTTGATTCACTACGATCAATTTAGCTCCATTTGAAGGGAAAATTTGCCTTCACGGTCGTAAAGCGAAGAGAGTCGTGTTTTTGATATTCTGGTAACAGAATGTTGGTGAGTTTGGAATCGGTAGTTATTTCACCCTGCGCGAAAATGCCTGGACCTTAGGCTTACACTTAAATACCACGCTTGGATATAATTCTCTTTCAAGCTCATTCGATTGAGATTTTCTATTACTCATATTTTTGATAATTCCTTGCATGAAAATATGTCAAATGGCCATCGAACAACACAAGTGAGTGAAAGTTTTTTGGCACAGTTTCGGACAGAAATAAGAGGAAGCAAGTTTTCCACATGCACTTTTCAAAGGTCAAAAATGGATGCAAATTTCTTCTCGAATTCACGGAGAATTAAATAATTGTAATCCCTGGAAAAATATCGCTTCCAAAATTGCAATAACATCAGACACGAAGAGGTTGCATGTGTCCTTTAAGATCACAAGGGACCTGTGGCAGGCTTTTATTGAATTATTAAGAAACACGTACAATTATCAAAACTTCGATAAACTGAGCAAAGTAAGAATGACATGTAATCTCCTCCATTGCCCAAGAAAACTTTCTATAATTTGCTATATGGTCATTTAGTAATGCGCTAAAATTCAGTCTCACCGAAGTCCCTGGCCAAAGTAGTAGTCATTGTGGTTCTAGTTTTGCGACATTTAACGGGTGGGCCTTTTAACCGAAAAATTCGAGGTATCAATAACACAAACCAAACTGTTATTATTATTTCGTGTGTGATCTGTCGACTAAAGATTTGTTTGAGTCTTCTCAGTGGCCTTCAAAGAAGCAATATTGAAATAAAAAATGGAATACGAAGGCTAAATGTACACGATAAAATTTAATGTACGTTGAGCTGTAACAGACTTTGTACTGTCAAAGGAAGACAAAAAGTTTCCTGCAACTAGGGTTACTCTTTAACGTGTTGCGAGCATGAAGTTATACCTTCCTAACAAAATTTAAGTAGAGCATTATAAACAAAACTCACAGACTTCAATTCTGCAAATTTAAGCAGAGCATAATTGTGACGCTTTACCTAATCGCTCCTTAAGCTTTCCCAAAAACGAACCCTGACGTTACTCTCAGTAATATTAAATGATAGTTGAGGATCACCTCCAAATGACTCCAGCGCAAATGTGATCTAAAGGTGAACTTTTCTTGACTGAACACACATACTTGTAGCGAGCCAACAAATATCATTCCGATGGCTTTTTCGCAGTTATCGCAATTGCAGGTGATTTATCGTATACATGGTACACACATCTAGTTTTCAACGGATAGCAAAGCGTTTGCTTTTACTTTCATTTAACAATATAGTTCATCTTGAAAAATCTCCTTACGTCTGGGTGACTCTAAGCATGTATGGCCAGAGTTTTATCCCTCAACACTCATTCGATTATCTTTTAAACTATAAATGAATCGCCCTGTTCCACCTAAACGAATTCTGTGATTCAATGGCTATGGAATAACAGATAATAAACCTTACCATGTGGCTTTTTGGCCACAGGGTAAGGATTAGATCATTCACTGAAAGAATGATTGACTTTCACAGAGTTTTGAAAGTCTTTTCTCGCCAATCGATACCTGAATCTTCTCTTCATCCTATTACCCTATCAATTCCTTCTCCAACTAAATCCTTCATAGATTAAAACTTTTGTAAACTGAAATGCATAGGAACGACGAAGCCGACTGGAAAAAAAAAGTATGTCCGCGGGCGATTAGTTCCAAATAAACTCTGCTCGAAGCACAGCACAAAGCACAGTGGATGATAACCTTATATTGTTGATTCATTTACTATTATAAACTGTTGCAATAAAGTTTTACCTTCCTTGCTTAACATCCAATGGCTAGAAGCACTCCAACACTCTTTCAAGCTCAGCAACATCATTGTTTGTACGTTTAGAATGTTTCGATGATATGGAAGATACTCGTAGAGTTAAGCTTTGGAGTTAAATTCGAGAAACAGCAATAAGGTTTAAGCATGTGGTCGCTCGTGACGTCAGAATGTGTCTCGCGACTGGCCACCATTCCGTTAAAAAACTGGGTATGTCGGAAGTCTGCGGCTAAAAGACCTTTTAGTGCGATACGCCCCTCAGGAAGTTTAAATTGGCTTTTTGGAAAGACTTCTATTCATGTGCACTTTATGATGGTAATAGTTTACGTCAATTCACAAATTTGTTTGCGTACTGTCTAAAATTTATTGGTGGGTATCAAAAGTGGAGATGAAATCGCTGAAGTACGTACTTTGGGGTTGTAACGTAGTTATTTAGATACCATCAGACTTGTTCGCTCAGAAGGTGGTGATTCACTGATTACTTTTGCTCATTCCAATCCAAGAAAAAACACGTTAGCTGCGCTGCGTTATAGAGAAGAGCGAAGAAACGCACTATTTACGCCCACACGGAGGTTATCTTCGTCAATTTTTGTGACGGTTTTTTCGACGTAATATCGTTTGCGGTAGATAAAATGTTTCAAGAGAACTAGTGTTTATTTTTTGCTTTGAAAAAGAGTTGTTTAGCAACGTTTTGTCTCATCCAGTGTCAGCAAACCTGTGTGGGAAAAAACTTCTGAGTAGCTCGTGTACTCCCTATAAACTAGACTAAAAGTTTCATCGAACGCGTTGCTTGATCGAGTGCCAAGGTAAGCATTTCAGTTGAATCAAGTTGAATCAATTTCATTTGTGAATTATCCTGAATTCTGTCTTACTTGTAACAAATTGGAAGCCCCAAGAAAAATTCTTTTGTCGCCGTATTGAAAGTCCAGTAATATTTCACTTTTGGTTAACAAATGGTAACATTGGCCAGATCAATCAGTTTTCTTAAACGTGTGTGTCGTTTGAGATATACTAGCTAATTTTCAGATTAAATAACTTCAGATTTTTCTTCAACATGCAGGTGAAAATGTATGTTAAGATACATTATCGCAAAAAAAAAACGATATAGGTTCTCTCTGTATTGTATGTTTCCCGTCTACGTTGACGTTGTTCAGCACTTTTTCTGATCAATCAAGACTGACTTAGCTCACTATTTATGTCTTTAGTTGTCGTTTTTTAAATTTAATGGTGTGATTTTTCTCTTTTAATTAAAGAAAACCACCATTCTGACTTCCTTGCCAGGCTTTGTAAACTTTTGTGGTCATGCAACTGTTCACATATCCGTTTGAGGGCAATACGTGATTGTGCAAGAGCAATAAGCAATATTGTAATCAGATCGTAACTTGCTCTTCCCTCGATGTTATTAGAAAATTGCTTTGAATTAATTGGTAATGCGTGTTTTTTCTCCTTTGTCAAAATCTAATTGGGTCTAAAGTTACAAACCAATTAAGTTTTTTTTTGACATATGGGAAACAGGCAACCTTGTAGTGAAGCAATTCGTCTCCAATGTTTTGACCTCCATGTTATTCAGTTCCTATGGTTTCTTTTCAAACACCACCCACTGCATATTTCACTCGATATTTTATTAGAATTTTTGTATTAACTTTTATATTTTTCCCTTGAGAAAAATAATGTGAAAATACGCGAGTTTGTATTGTGTTTCAGAAAACCAATTAATCCAACATATGAAGATATTTGGAATAAAACTAACAAAAAGAATCTCGTATTGACTTGGAATGCATCCTAATGGTTGATGGAGCTCGTATTGTTCCGGTTGTACCTACTTTTCTTAGACTGCTTTACATTACAATAGTTTCTCGAGGAGTTCGGGTAGCTCTGAACTTGCAGTCTTTTTCAAACCTCTTCCAACCCAAGAGAAATATGAAAAATGGGGTTGGCGAACCCGTCTGTGAGTTGCAGGCACATACGGCCAAAATTAAGGGTGTTTCTTTTCATGATAACTTTATAGGTCAAAAACTGGCCACGACTTCTTGAAGAAACAACAGGGTATAATAAGGAACTGGGGGCATCTTTCCAACAAAGTATTGGTGGTGAAAAATGTAAAGAAAGCATTTAAGCTACCTCAAATAGATTATGCTTGTTTTCTTTTGAGAGTTGTGGATCAAATGAAACTGAAAAAGAAAAGTTAACGAAAGGAAGTCATATGATAACAGCGATACAAATATGGAGTTAAGAAGGGCTTACTTGTGGACAGAATTACAAACATTCCTTAGAAAACCGATTGTCGTGAATAGTGAGGCGCACAAAATTAACGATTTCATGTAGAACTGATTTTTTTAGTCCCATAGAAATTAGATTGTGTAAAATATGTGTTTGTTAATTGTAGTTGTGAATGATAATGAGCAATGAACTGTCGGTATCACAGTTTGCAGTCACCATTTATTGTAGAGTTCAACTATCTATAGTACTGGCCTTCATCAGACAATGATTATGAGTTTGAATAATAACGGGTCGTCTTTTCGCTTTTTATGTTTCGGAATGGTTAGCTGCCGCCTCAATGGATTGGTTCTCAGTCATACATCAGTATTTAGGCAGTATTTAGTTTTAGATGCTGAATGTATGACTGACAATCAGTGTTTATCGGACTTTTTCTACCGTCTGATTAGTTCCTGATAACTTAAAAAAGATCACTCTTTCCCTCTCACCAAGGATGCTTTTCAAAACATTTTCGTAACAGGTTTACAAGCATGTGAGGATGCCTAGACAATAGTAGACATACACGAAGATGCTTCTTCATCTAGATCGTTGTCTTCATGGCGTTCAAAATGTGTGATCTGTTCAGTCGTGCTTTCATCAAAGCTAAAAATAACGAGTTAACAATATTGTACCTTAAGCGGTCAGGTGTGTCAGAACATAACCACGCAAAGTATATTTGGGTCTTTTGAAACTGTTCCAAGGCCGGATATTGTAACGGGATAACTTTTAACATATTCAGTTATACTCAGTGGAGTAAACCTCCGAAATTCCACTCCTCCGTTTAATTAAACCAAATCTTATTTGTCGCTTACAGTCGAAAGCTTTGGCCCAAACTTGTTTCGAAAACTTAAAACGATTTAAATTGAGACCTAAAGCTTTTTTAGAATAATTTTTGTGACCACTTCCGCTCGAATTCAAAGCAAATTTAACATTGATACTCCGTAAGAAATAGATTGCCTTAGTGTCAAGGCCCTTGAAGTTAAACGATGCACTGAAAGGAAATATTGCATTTCTGATAACCGTTGAGCAAAACGAAGAGGGTGATATTGCTTTCCCACTGTTTGGAATTTTCTGGTTGATCTTAGACACTCAAGTCTGTCGATGATGATTTGTAGTGTTGCTCGTGTATTTGTAAGCCAAACCCTCCAGCTTGAAAAAAAGTGGACCTTTTTAGTGATTTTATACCTTTGATACTGAATTAAATAGTCTTTCAACAGTCATCTTATGTCTTTGCAGTAACATAAAGAAACAATCTAGCCATAGATCAACGTTCAGAGTACGGCTGTAAGGTTTTTCTCATGCACTCCCGTTAATTACTGATGGGAAGCTTGCAGGGAAGGGTTCAAGTGATGAAAAAACAATTCATTTGACCACCCAGCCTAAGTTTCGCGTACGTTTTCCTGTATTTGTTTATTTAGCTTCAGCAAATGTTAGCGTTAAAAAAAGCGAACCAATCCTGGGACGATTTATAATGCAAAACATGTTACCTTTTTGCTGTCTTCAGTATTTTTATTAATGATGAGTAAACTTCTTTGTCGACGCGTCTGCATTTAAGATCCGCAACGCCTCTTTCTTTTGATGTCTCCTCTTTCCCCAACATTTCATGGCCTTTTGCCTTTAATTTTACCTTATTTTTGACTTATATTTGCATCATTTTTCTTTCAAATGCTAACTTCGGTTTATGTACGTCACTGTTCGGAAAAGAAATGGTAGATTTTACTCCATTACAAATAGTCTTGAATATTTACGCACTGTTCAGTGCAATTGTTTGAAACAATGTCGAATAACATTGTCCTGAATAAAATGTCACTTAATCATCTTTGCGAAGCAGCTCTTTTAAAGTCCTGAAAAAACAGTTGGAAACTTTAAAATCGGTTTAGTTTGAATATGTCTCATGCAGTCGTGTTCTTGATTAGTCTGTATATCTTTAGATCATAAGCTTCATCTTCCATGTACACTTCTGGTTTAAGAAAAGAACAAATAGTACTTTAATTTGATAACTGTAAACATACAAACGTAATCTTAGGCCAAATACGCCAACTCTTTCCCATTCCCGGTGGCGCAGCTAATAGAGTATGACACCGCGAGATCGGAGCAAAGTGTGGTTAGAATCCGTGGGAAGGAATCACACTTTTTATGATTTCATGCCAGTGGCAAATGTTTAAGATATTTCTTTAGTTATGGAAATGGCTTCTTAGCCCACATTTGAACAAGACAGCGAAGTCAAGTAGAACTAAAACAATCCTGCATCACTTTTGGGTAATTTGACCGAAAATCGCTATATAGGCTGGTGATGGGCATGATTATATGACGTTCATTGAAAAGGGGAAGGTTTCGCCTACTCTTCATGTATCGTTAACCAACACTTTTCCACTCACCTTTTGAAACAAGCATTTCTCAGGCTTGAATAGTAGTTAACTAATATAATCTCTTTTCTCAAAAAGTGCATGAAGTGTACAGGTTGATATTTACTTACATACAACACTGGCTAAACAAAGTCTTGGTCCCAGATAGGTGCAAGAGTAGAGGAATCGACTACGCATTTGCGATTAATAGGTTGTAGATGATACAGAGAACAGATATCTTCAGGGGAAACATAAATTCATTTCTCGTTATCTTAAAAAACCAACCACGATGGTTTGTGTCATCAAACTATGTTTGCATTCCCTGTTTTGGAACGTAACAGTTTATGAACAGCCAAGGGAAGCTATAAGTGGACAAACAACCAGTTAGTGGCTGTTGAAATAGCCATAAGGGCATTCAAGAAATTAAAAAATCGTTGGTAAGTAATTGGAAAATAATGATAAATTAAAAAATGATCTGTGAGAAAGAATGAAATTAATACCTTTGCCTTCAAAGAGTGACACTTTTTAGTTAGAATCCAAGCCAAATCAGTGATGTGAATCTTTTAGGTGGTAAGTTTGCTGTGGTAGTTTACGATAAATGGTCTAACTTCCTTACGTATTGCGCATTAATGCCTGCTGACAATTATGTAATAAATAACAGAGAAATCCAGAATTTAGGATTTTTAACGTTAAAAGACTGTAGTCACTGTTGTATTTAAAGAATGCAGTAGTTTTTGCTCAATTTATTTGGCTTCCGGTGCGTGACGAGGCAGGTCTACTCAATGGAAAAGTAATACTTGTGGTGCTAGCGTCATGGGATTACCTGCCAAATGTTGATGCCGTTTGCCCAAAGAAAGTATTGAAGTGTTCGCATTCTTTGGATGCTCATAGTTTTGTTTCGGAAAAAGGGACGCAATACTGCATTTATCAGCACTCACAATCTCGTCATCGAAGAATACCTTTGTCTACTTGTATTTGTTTGACATCTATTTCTGCTACTGACTTCATTTCATTTAGGATCAATTCTTGGATAACTGCACAAAATATCTTGCAATTAACCTTTGCTACAAAAAAACTCAAGAAATGTAATCAGCTTACTTGTAGAAACCGGTATTTGGAAAAGAAATGTTTCCCTAGAAGCAAACGTAGTATTTACTTCTTGCAGTAAAGTTGAAATACTAATTAAAAACTCCACAATCTTGCCATCTGTTACAATCTGAACTATTTTGACGAAAGTATTCATATGATATTACGCAAACAATTATGGATAAATCTTTGCAAAATGCAAATTTTGAACCGGCCCCTGTTCCCCTCATCAGTCATACGAATTTCTTCAATTTTTCCTCCCTGCGATATGTGATATGAAATATGATAAATCTGAAGAGTCACTGTAACACGGCTAAGGTGAGAAAGTGAATGGGACAATGTTTATTTCGCAAAGTTGAAAATTTAAGGTCTTTCAAAAGACGTTAACAGTGAGTAGTTTGATACACGTCATGCTGCACAGCCACCAAGTATTTCACTAACTTTTTAAGCCGTCGACATCATTGTTCACGAAAAGTACTCGCAATTTGGCAGTGAACCGTTTACCTTCTACCTTTCAACTTTTTGTTTTAACAGTCAAGTAATCTGTATTGTCTTTGCATGGTTAATATCCAAAACATAATGAAACCATCGCTTCAAAATTATACGTTACGAGCAAAGTCCACCTTCACATAACATCGAAAGATACTATTGACGTCGTATGCTGATAAATTTTTTCGGTGTCAGCTGAACTTTGCCAAATTTAGCTGTTTTCCTTTTAAATACCTCATGAGATATCAATTGACGTGAGTTCACGACTCACCCGAAATCAATACGCGAGCAATATTTGCTTTTGCATTGACGTACTTTGTTTTCTAAATGGTCACGAAGAAAACCTGCTTTTGGGCAAATGTATTTCATCTTTACCCGAACGCGCGGGAGACGAAAACTCTAGCCAAATGGTTGAACGCCAATTTAAGGGTGGCTTTAGTTCGTAATGAGACTTAATTAGATAATGAGACAATGTATTTAATTATCAGTGTTCTTGACGAATGAGTTGCATCTTTAGCCCCCCAATCCACGGGAAGTTTCCCAACAAAAGGAACCGTTGTCGAAAAGGTCGATGAAAAGTGGCTCATCTGAGAGCTTCTATTATGAAGAAACCGTCAGAAACATCTTTATTCCAGTAGCAAAATAAGGAAAAGTTCGAAGCGCTATCGCTCAAGGTGTCCCTGGTCATTTCGCCTTCAACATTAATTCCTAACTAGACTTAAGTCACACAGTGCCTCGATAAAATTAACTTTGAAAATATTTTATTGATTATCGAAGACTCTGCAATAATTTGCCAGTGTCTGAACTTACTTACAAGAATAAGGAATAAATGGGAAATCTCGAAAACCAACTTTGCCGTCGAATGTTCAAATCTTCTATCATTGTGACTTTTCACTTCTTAGATCTAAATACTAATTCTCCTTAAATTCCCCTTTCCGTCATTGGTAAGGACTCGACTTAGTCTTAAACCAGACTATTACCTGATATCTTCGTTGGTCTCATCACCTGTCTGTGGCGTAATGGTGATATTTTTAGCTAAAATTATTAATAGTTGACTAAAGGGAATGAAAAGGTTCGACACACTCAAGGAAAATTTGTTTCAATGCGCCATGAAATGCTTAACACATCGTAACACCGAAAAAAAGACATGATCCTAAGATTTAAGTTGTAACAGAGACCGCCCCCGTGGACATTGCGTCATCTGGCCCCATCACCTGGCCCTCTTTTATGGACTCAGTGCAAGCTTCACATTCTGCTGATGGATTTTCATCCTCCATTCCCGGATCTAGAGAAAGGAAACAAAGTAAGTAGGAACGAATGATTAATTTTCTTCTCCTATCTTGATTTGTGTTGTTTTCCATCTTGTATTATATCTGTTCAACCGTTAATTATGTGAAGTTCTCTTTTTTTTCCAACGAAGTTCTTGGAACTTTGTGGAAACAGTTTGTGAACCAGTTTATTTCAGCACATGTTAGATGGCCCTGTGCACTGAGAATTTCGAAACAAATAAGTGTTATGCTCAAGCGGGAGTTTTTTTTGGCTAAAATCTGCACTCTTAAGACAATCACCAATGTAGTGTCGAAAGTAATGCGCTATTGCATTGGCTTAGCTTTACTTCGCTCTTTTATTGGCTCAAAAAATTCTCTCCAGACCCGCTCTAAGAAACAGATGCTAAACTAAATCCGATCGTGAAAAAGTTTATTTGTCGCTTCTTTGAATTTTCATTGGTTCCTTGTGATATTTCTATGCTCTGATTGGCTGGCCGCTGTGATTAAATCAGTATCGGTTTATAGACACTCTAACTTATCTTTACCTTACGAACGGGATGGTGACCACTTTTTGGCAGATAGATTAGTTCATCAAGGTACGCCGAAGTTTAAATGTCGTTTATTGAGAAAAAAAATTTGCTACTAAATGAGTTATTATCTGGGTGTCGTATCTGAATGCATTTGGTAGTGTTACCTGCGAACTTTTTTTTCATCTTAAGTTTCACATCAACTCGGATTGGAGGAGATAAATGCCTGAATAAAACTGATTATTTTAAGAGGTATGCATAACCTGCGGCCACTTACCCTCTCTCCACAAGTTCAAGTTGATGGATGGAATGTCATCACAGTGAACCTTTACTGTGCTGCTTTCAAATACACGCCTTTGAAGTTCCTTCACAGTATCTGAATTATCACAGATGATTCTTGCAAGGGAACTACCTCTTCTGATAGAATCCAGTTGCCTGCTTGTGAATCCTGTGTAAGAATCACGTCTTTCGTACCAAAAACGATCTCCAAATCGGTATCTTTTGAAACTTCGAGCAATCAGACAAGAGAACGTTTCCCCAAATATAGACCCTTTCTGTGGCCTTTCACTGACTCCTCCCACATACAAGTCTATGTCTGCAGGATGGTCATAAGACTCTTTAATCTTACCCAGTTGCGCGGGGTCAATGTTGGTTAGTTGTGAAAAATCTGTGACAAGGCCACCGGTTAAGTTTTTATCCAAGTCACAAGCTCGTCTGAATTCTATGTAAGGTGGTAGGGCGTGGTCACGACCACGTTGGATGTTGATTGCCATTAGGTCTCCCACAAAACCCTCGATGGTTGGTCCTTCTATTACGAGACTTTCGTGTACAGCTTCCACGAAGTTCCTACGTGAGGAAACAAAGCAATAACTGTTTTATATAAAACCAAGGAAATTAGGTTAAGGAGGTTAAACTGACGTGGTACATCACCACGATTCGTTCACTGAGTCCAAGAGGTGTTTGGATTTGAGGTATCGGTTTAGTGGAGGTTAAAAAATAAATTGGAAAGTACAGTGAAAAACCTATAGAGCAAGAAATGGAACCAATAGGTGAGGTACTGTAATCGAACTTGAGTTTTAGATCCCACTCCCTTCTCCATGGGAAGTATTATTAAGTCGTGTGATTGATGGATAAAGATCTCCTGATATACGTTGGACAAGGCAACGTATGCTGGTTGAATGACCCGAAGACAACGATATGGAAGCTGAACTTAGAGCAAAGACAATCAATTTTCTTTTAAGGGAACGTGACTGCTGTTGTTGTGGTTTGGCCTTTGTTCCGAAATTTGGGGCATCTACAAAAATTTCCTTCAAAGAATTGTAAACTTTTTAATGCAATCTGGCCAAAGTCCCTTGCAAAGTGTTGTAAAGATCCATGAGCTATAGGATATGGCGCCACAGATATCCTTTATCGTTAGCATTATCATTATTATGAATCCTTACCTATCAAACTTCTGCGATGGTTCTTTTATTAACCCTAGAGAAATTCCGTCGATACCGTTGTTCCTTAAAGTGTAAAGTGGGTCAGGATTGAAAAATGTTGTGGTATTGATCTCTCCCAGTCGTACAAATGCTTTACTGAACTGTCCAAACGTCTGTCGAATCAAGGAGTGACCCATCCTGAGAGCCGCTGCTGCAAATGCGTTTAAGGTTGTCGCCCTCACATTTGGGTCGTAACCGCTGAAGAACCGGCCAGATGACTCCAGTAAAATGCCCTCGTCGTTTCTCTTTTGGTAACATAATAAATATAATAAACGATGAGATGAATAATAGATTATTAAAACTTCAAATGTAACTTTTGCACTATGAATTGTATTATTATTGACCGTTTTTCGTGATATTGTGTGTACTAACACTTTTTCAAAGGAGGTGTGGTTATCCCAGTCAATACATGTCTAAGTTAATTTACGAGATGAGGATAAGAGTTGATGACTTGAAAAATTTAAATAACCTGGATTATTACAGGCAGAATATTAAGAATTTAGTTCCAACTAAATCAGCTCCAAGCACAATAGCGCCCACGTTGCTTTTATCCTAATCAAGTATTGGAGTCAACTGCTCGCCCTGACCTATACAGCAGTAAGGTTCTACACGTTAGAACAGAGCGTAATTCAATCCACAGTGAATATGTGTAGATGATTGTTGCAACAGAATGTTATTTCAAATTGGTACTTTCTGGTTTCTTCTCAGTGCATTTTGTGAAGAACGACGTTGAAATGATGCAGACGAGGCCAGGAGGTGAGCCGATGTACTCTTGCAGTAACACTGGAAGCATAAGGGGGACGTAGTAGTCTGATAGCTTATATATTGGCTTCGCAACTCACTATCTATTCTTTGATAGGTAGTGAGTAAACTAAATAGTCCATCATTGACTATCAATAAAAACATGCGCCTTCCTTGTTGTTAAGTTGTGAACGACAAGTAGTTTTATGCCAAAACAATTAAACCATTCGTTCTCGATTTCCATAAATAATCACGCGATTGAAACTCGAGCTCTTAATCGAATTGTCCAGTAGAACATTTTGGATAAATCAATAATAATAATTAGAGTTCTTAAAAACCGCATTCTACATATAAATGTCTCGATGCTTTTTACAACTAAAAAAAAGAGCTCTCATGAAACAGGTACGTTTCCAACGCCTTTTTAAAACTATCAACAGTTAATTTGTCTAATGGCAAGCGGTAGCTGATTCCATAACTTCGGAACAATTGCCTCAAAAGATCTATCTCCGTTAGAAACTGTAGTAGTCTTAGGGGTAGTCTTAAGGATAACTAGAAGGTTGGAATTTCTAGAAAGAAAGAGAGCGACAGGGAGTGTAATGATGAAACAGTTCATTAATATACACCGGGGCAAGGCCATTAAAAGATATGTACGTAATCGAAAGTAACTTAAAAATTATTCTGTCATTAACAGGAAGCCAGTGCAAAAATTTTTAAAACAGGAGTAATATGATCAGTCCTCTTCATGCACACAGTTAATCTTGCCGCGGTATTCTGTAATCTCTGAAGTTTCTCAATTTCACTGGAGGGAATTCCATAGAGCAAACCATAACAATAATCCAATTTCGATAAAACGAAGGCATGAACAATGCGCCCAGTATCCGCTTGCGAAAGATAATTTCTGATTCTGCCAATAGAATGAAACGAACGCGACAGGTGTTGTTGACAAGGGGAACTAGGGTGAGGTGTGAATCAAGCGTGACGGCTCCAAGGTCTGTGACAACACTAGTTGGCTGAACGTAATGATCACTGACTTTAATCGAAGCAATCGGTGCAGCAGGTGAAAAACGCGAAGTATCATAAAGTATCATGCATTTCATAAATAAATCGATCCTCACCAATTTTTTAGAAGGAAACAGAACAGGAAGCCATTCGTTGTATGTAATGTGCTGTATTTGACCAATCACTATTTTTCGTGCCTCCTGAAAAAGCTTTTCATCCTGCCACATTGGATTCAGATAATGAAGGAACTGTGCAATGCGATTATGTTCACGCACAAAAAGGGTGTGCATTACCATAAGCGCTGAAAGATAAGGAAAAGAGAACGGGATTTAGTTACTTTCTGTTAAACTTTGCCCTTCATGATTATTTGATTTTTCATGAGCTAGGTGTTACTCTCTTCGTTCAAACTGAATTCATAATATTTACGGGGTTGTTGTGTTCCTTAATAAAAACGATTACTGAAAATGGGGAATTAAAAGTTGCATGCATATAAGAGATACAAGCTTAAAAGATTCTCTGTTTTTATCCCTATGCTTATTGGCAAATATCTATTCAGTCTCGCTTACGACCACAACAGAATTTGTGTAAATAAGAGAGACGTCCTCCTGATGGATAGCTGGAGATATATTGTCCCGCACAAATTCTTACCGGGATTTTCATTGACTCTCCTAAAATCACCAGCTAGGAAACAAGGCCTCACTGCAGGTCTCGGTGATTTACAAAAGGATTCTGGGCTAGCTTCAGGTAAAATTGGCATCCTGTCGGAGCGTCTCACTGGCAGTGGGAGAACGCGTAAAGATCCAGTATTTGCTATTTTGTCACGGAGGCTCTCTGCCTCTTCACAATTAGCTCCATAAACCATCGAAGCATCAATGTAGGATGAAACTAAGTTAACCTGAAAAAGAGCGAACGAGTATTTTGTCGGTTTCTTTTGCTAAATCGAAGTAGTGTTTATTTCAAAGGGTAGCACTTCCCCCGTGATTGATCAATACTGGGACCTCCAATTCTATTTGTACTTCGCGTTATGTGCTCAACAGAAATTCTTTTCGTTTCTTCAAAGTTGCGCATAAATTCAAAGTTTCATCAAACTTTTCTCTCTTCTGCCCCGCAATGTTATGTCACATAAGAAAATATAACTTTTCTCACGGGATTCGTTTGTTTATAAAAGATAAATGTTAACTGCAATGCGGATGAAAATGACGCTTAAGACTGCAGGAATCTCTCACCTGTTCACGATCCCTCAATGCTGATCGTGATAGGGGAATGCATTGTGCAGTTACATTGTTTGCCAGTCGATCATCGGGGTTGTTCTGTGAGATCGGTATGCTTATACATCCGGGAATGTTGGTGGGACATTGTTCGTTGTTGGTCCCGCATCCCGCAGTCTCGTTGGACTCAGTTAACGTGATGTCATGATCTATAAATTGACCCCACGTCATGGTCACGTGAGTGAAAGGTGGAGGTTTTCCACCTACATCTTCAGACGTACTCTTGAACACGTTTTTACTGATTGTTCGCGCGTTCTTCAGTGGAGCACCAGATGAAGACATGAGTCTAGGTCCATCTCCGTTCTGAAAGGCTGGTGGGAGGAAGCGGTCGAATCCAGTCTCGGCGGAGCCCTCGGTTATGTTGCACAGATTGTTGCACGTCCCGTCGAACGTGCGGTAACGGCGCCTGATACAGTTTAGACGAAGATACAGAGGTATCGGTTGACACATGCTGTCAACCCTTAAAAATGTATCGGAATTGTCAGGTGTTCCACCAACGGAAGGCCCGCTTTGGAAGAGACATACCCCCAGCACTAGGAGAAGGCTACAAGATTGAGAGAATCGTTAATCGAAACAAAAGGAAGCTATGAGTTTTTAACAATTTTAATTAATACTTATGTCGCAGCCTCACTGCAATTTTAATTCACCAAATTCATGGAATCCAAGAATTAAATCTCATATTTGATTGCACCTCAAGGGTGTATGGTTCTTACAAGCAACCAAGTATTAAAAAAAATCATATTTAAAAGGCAGTCCCAAAATAGATAGGTTTAAGTTTAAAAATTAGCTACTAATACCTTAATGTCAACATTTCTAGCTGTTTCAGTGCTTTCACTGCTTATGTGTCTATGGAAGAAAAAAAAACATCCAAGAGTTAGGCTGCCCTGAAATAGTATGAGCAGCGAGACGGTAAGGTTTTTCATGACAAGTGTTTATGCCATTGTCAAGTTTAAGTGAAGATTCTTCTCAAATCTGCTCCCACTTAGCACACAAAAAACTTCAAGAGAGAGAATGATATGTGAGTACTCGAATAGACATAATCTTGCATTCCATTACTGAGTAAATAGTTCGGATCCTTTTTTTAGCTGATTGCGTTGACAAAATATTGAACAACTTTACAAAGAAGTAGGCTAAAAGATGCGAACAATTTTCGCGCGGTACAGATTTCGGTCTCTTTTGCAAAGAAAAACGGTAGAGTTACGAAAAAATGGGACAAACACCCTGATCAAGGCGGAATAAACTGTAGGAACCTACTTCGAAAAAAGGTAATTTATCGATGCCAATTATAAAACAGTATGCTCCCATTGTAATTTCAAGACAAACGAATCAAGTTTGTTATCAGCAACCACAGGCTCAAAAATTGCTTCGAAAACATTAAGCATTCATTGGAAACAAGCAAGGCGAAGTAGGATAGGTTTCATTTTCCATTATTGAACATGACTTTAAATAAGAAAATCCATTTACCTTATCCTTGTAGCTGGACTTGAATTGAAAATGTTTGATTGACCTCCAAGCAAATCAAATCGTGGTTTTTGAGAACCTATCTGGTATGAAAGAGCTTCCCACCTTCTGTCCTTTTAAACATTTGCTTTTTGCTCATTATCATTTGTGCAGCCAAAGCACAATACACTGCTCTCACTAATTATTAGGGACACATAAATGATTTGGCAGCTAATATCCTCTGAGTAATGAGATGATCATTAAGTACTGGTTTCTTGAATCAAGAGTTCATATCAAGGGTCCAATACTTTGTTTATTGTACTCTTTCGTCACAGTGAAAAACACTGTTCAGAGTTGTGGAAAAAATTTTTTTCTGGACAAAAATATCTTGATCCTGTGTCATAAATTTTCTAATTTTTTTTTTCTGTGTGCATAATTGGGCTTAAGTCAAAAGCTTGACAAAAATCCAGGAAGGAAGTTGTTAAAACAATTTTCGCTGAGGAAGTTGGAGAAACGGTACAAATGACAACTAATAAACAGGATGTTTCTTCATGATATGAGCACAAAGGCGCCTTCAGTTGGCTTACTTGTGCTGAAGGGCGAGAAACGTTAATGACGAAAGATTTAAAGAGATACAAAATCAGCATAAGCGAGCTCTGTAGAGAAACCTGACTCAGCCAATACATTTTTGGTTTCTTTTTTTCCTTACCAGTGGTGATTAAAGAAACCTGACGTAGCCAATAAATTTTTGTTTTTATTTTTTTCCTACCAGTGGTCATATAATGAAGTTGAATTTACAGCTGTCAAATAAGTTTCTTTCATCTAAGTATTGCTCTGATTAATTTATTTTAAAGGAACATTTTTTCTTATTCCACTAAAGATGTACTCACAAAATAAAAACAAACAAATGAACTCTACCAAGAGGTAAAGCTGTTTCATAGCAGATTAATCTCAGCAGGTGTATAATATTGCAAAATATGAGTTTAGTAATTCAGTAGTCAGCAATGCGTTGGTTTAAGAAAATTAGACCACGTCATGGGGTATATTTTCCAAGCCGTGGCAACCAGTGTTATCGTTTGATTTGGGGTATTTATTGTTTGCTTGATGTCTTGATTTTATAACCACCTAAAGGGACAGGGTTATCAATCTAAATGAAAGTTTTAAAATACGTGTACGTCAGTTGTTAATGTCTAGAAAAACTGCAAACGTGCTTTTTGCAGTTCTTTTAAAAATTTTGGTTATTATATATTTATTATTGTTTTACCGTCATATTGATTGCTTGAGTCTTTAATTTCACTGTTTTGACGTCACCGCCACCGAAAAAACTGGCAATTTGATAGGCACCAAATAGACTAGAAAATCAAATTCTACGTCTATATTAAATAATAATGTTATCACTTTTCGGCAAATGCATTTCCTTGAAAATATCTAGTGAGAGATATAGGTCGGTTTTTCATGGCTCATTGACTAAATTGCACGAACGATTTATGTCAATTATCGACAAAGTGATTTCATTTCATGATAGTTGGCAACCTCTCCCAAACTTGTTTCACTAAGTAGTATGGGAATACCATCAGAGTAAATAAGTTTCCTTGTATTCTTTGACTCTTTAATCCTTGGTTTTTTTTTCTTACATACCTCACTGAGTTGAATCTTTGTAGCTTTAACTCTATCGTGACTTTACATCTGGCACTGTATCTGAGGTTATTGCGATATTGGAATTTATAAACAAATGCCTAATATTAAGCAAATTCTAGTTTTTTTAAAGAACTTCTTGAATTTGTCTCAAATGCCATTGTTCTGCTGAAAAAGTATCTCTTGATACATGACAAAACAGAATATTAAGTTAAGTTTGTGATATAATGGGAAAAAACTTTGAGGGTTGAATTTGGAAGACACTTTGTGACATATTAACCAACTTATTAACGAAAATTGCATCAGTTTACAGTAAAGATACACTAATCTAATAATGATCGGACCAGATGGAATCGTTACGCAATGAAGACTTTCGTTTCGTTTTGGTTGGCAGAAGACAATTGGTTCTTCCAACAATCAATAATTCTCAGGACGATCAACTGTATTTGATTCGATGACCACTTGATGTGACTACTCTTTTTGAAGTATTCATTACTGGATCTCATCAGAAAAGAAGAACTGTTTTGATCTTGACTTTAGATCCCTTTCAAGCTGTAATTGTAATTTCCGACCGGCCTTTGTAATTCCAACGTACCAAGACCAATTTCTCGCATAGATGAAAAACGCACAGTTTTTCTGTTTGTTAACCTTTGTACTCTACTCTCATATTTATATTTGCGGGTGTTTGCCATGTTTAAAATTAGGTCAGTTGACGAATGTTCACTGAGGGTGTTTTTTTCAATGTAGGAGGGAAGAGGAGGGACAAATTACATTCATTGCCAATTATAGATGCGAGGGCAAGTATAGATGCAAAATACCCCTAGATTCGTTGCGAAGCTCGTAACAACTGTTTTACGAAAACCCTCGTTATGATTACTACTGATAAACGGGCTGACAAACAGACAAATTAAACTAAGAGGGTAATGAATGTTCTGTGAAGCGCGACCGTCGATAAAGCTCGTGTACATGTTAGGCCAAGAAATTAGCTAAACCAATATAAAAGAAACTTAGGAGGCGTTATTAAACAATATACACCTTTAAGCTTACGGCTCTCTGGCACCTTCTGTCGCTTTATTTCTGACTTCTGTTTAAAGGTACCGAAATAACCGCAGGATTAACAGTGCATGATTTGATTTTTCGATTCATTTTTGTATTTATTTATTTTTTTATACAAATATACTTCTCACAGCCGTTCTTCTATAAGTGGAGTTTTACTATCAAAAGTGAGGCAAAGTTTTGGGAAATGTTTACAACTTTAATTGACATTGACGCCAGACGAAAGTGCCGCTTAAAATGTTTCAACAACGCATACTAAAGCTATGTTAAAAGTGAAGTCAAGGTAGAATGAAGGTTAACTAAGTTAAATTTTAAGATATCTTATCCCTAAGGCTTGAATGTACACAGATGGAATGTTGGTCGACCCTCCTACCGTGGGTGTTATGTGAGACAATTTGATGCGCACGTGCAAAGATCACCACAACCGTGACCTTAATGTTAATAATTCAACGTGATGTTTAATCAATACGACATGGCGAGATAAATGAACCAACGCAAAGCATCTCAATTAAACGGACACACAGCAATAGAAATACTCGGCGTAACGGGAAGTTTTTGCTTACGAGAACGTTTCTCTTGGGTGACCACAAGCAGTATTATTAAAAAAAAAAACTATTGTTCACTTCATTTAACGGCTGGCCGGTCATATGATTGTTAACCTTTCAATCTAAGGTTTCTTTCACCCTAAGACGGATGAAAAATGCGTTTTCAATCTGACAACGCAAAGAACCTTTCCCGTCCTCCTAGTAAAACGGAGAAATCTTTTCCGTCCAGACCTCAAAGATTTGTGACTTGTGTATGTACCTCAAGAAATGGACTTCTCCAACTGTGTGCGGTTAAGTAAGGAAAAAAGAGAGGAAAGAAACGGACGCAAAAATTTTGCGTCACTTGTGCAACGCGCATGTGCACCTCCACTTTCAAGCCTCGAGGATGAGTCAGTACATAGCTTGTACGAGAATTCTAATGGGATCTTGTAGAGGCGACGGTAAGCAGAGCTGTAAGCTTACCAGATAGTCTGTGAAGACAGCTTCGATTGTAATAAATTGCTATATACGTTTTTTCAGCCAACGACGGTAAATTAAATCCACAAAATTTAGACCACAATGGAAATTCATTCCAGCATCCGCGCAAGCACCCTTGCATCGGCAAACTTACAGGGTTTAATACAACCAGGTGTTACTGCATTCGAGAGACTAAAATTTTAGATTTGAACAGTGAGATGTAACCATTATCATCCTCAGACTATCGTTTTCTTTTCCAGGCAACTCTCTACACAAACAAATGTTAAACACTGCAAATAATGTAATTCATTTTAATCAAGCACAGAAACGTGAACTAGTTTCTAAGAATTTCGATATTTTCTATGGCACCTAGAGGGTCGTTTTTGAATAGCATAAAGTGTCCTTGTATCTGCGCGATGCTTCTTCCCTGCTTCAATCTAAATACTTTGTCCGCGAACTCCTCTGCGCAAGAAGGAATCTGGTCGGGATAAAAGCGAGTGTACATCTTTTGTAACTGAGATTTGGAAGCGAGGCCAATCTCCTGTTTGACATCCACCCTGCCTGGTCGTATGAGGGCTGGATCAAGCCTGTCCAGGTGATTAGTAGTCATGAAAACAATGCGTTCTTCAGATGATGCCACGCCATCCAAGGTGTTCAGAAGACCACTAAAAGTCACCTGAAGAAAAGTTAACAAGGAAAAGTAACTCAGATCATCCCTTTCCCAAACATCGGTTCACAGAAAGAGGGGAACAACAGAGGTTGAAGTTTCTTTAAACGCCAAAATATTCCAGATGTTTACAAGAAGAGTATGTGAAAAAATCCAGACCCTTAAAAAGTTTTAAAATAAATATTTAAACCCCCTGAAATTGCTATGCAACTAATGCTCACAACTCTATTACCTGCAGGTTAAACAAACTCATCAGCTTAAGATTTTTTACCCTTTGATAAAATTAATATGTACAATTCTCTTAAAAAATTTATAAAGAAATAAACAGTGTGGCTGTCAGAAGAACAATTATTGGCAGACCTTTGGTACCAGTTCTCTGATGTTTCAATAAACCTTGTCATTTAAGGAAACTGATTTCTTTTTTTACAGAAGAGGTTATAAACATTGGGTCAAAGGAATAAGTCAAAAAAAATCTTACCAAAATTTAGTCCACAGCAACAATCATCTTCATGCAATAACCAATCATTGAGTGTTTGTGCATGCATAGCTCACACTCGTAATACTTTACAGAACCCCTTACATAAGATTTTCAGGAAAATCAGTACAATCTTTTCCATACCCTGTTTATGTAGCCACTTGCTCTCCCTTCTTCCTTCTCATCAGTTCTCTTTACAAAGGCAGCATCAATATCCTCTAACAGAATAATACTTTGCTGGGGTGCTACACTCATTAAATGGTTTAGGCGGTCATCTGACAGACTGCGATCACTTAAGTTCATGACACATATGCTGTAGTCCAGAGCTCCTGCTAGTGCTTGTCTGATAGTTGAAAAATGTTACATTAATTGGCTGATGATTATTTCAGTTATTACAGAAACAGAGCAACAATGAACTGTTGGTGGAAATACATGAGAACAGTACAGTTGTTTCCATAAATTGGTCAGATGCTTCACCAGTAGAAGTTTTACATAAAATATAGAATGAAAAGAAAAAATCCAGGGACCTGATTCATTAACCCTTTCACCTCTGTGAGTGACTAGCATCTGATTTCTCCTCACAACATCACCCCCAAAATCACAGATAAAGGTCATAAAAGAAAAGGAAATGATCACCACTGATATAAGCTCTTGATTGTTAAACAAATTCTCCTTGTCAGCTTCTTAGGAAATGTATTGAGAACAGTATGGAGAATATGTCAATTGATGTTAGGGTGTAAAGGGTTAAAGATCAAAGCCAAGGCCCACAGAATGGGGAAAAGAGTAACACCATTTAGTCTAGATTTGCAGCCTCAATGACTAAAATCTTACCAGGCCAATCTTTAAGATTTTGCACAATTACATTTGTATGTACTGCAATCTTGCCTGATAAATTCAACATGCTTTAATGCTGGAGCAAAATTTTTACATTTGGCTCCCTCAACAATTCCCCATGTTTTGGGCAAAAAAAAAAATTTATGATGATCTTAGTCAGTAGAGGTGATGGTTAGGAAAGCTGGTAGAAATCAAACATGAAAACAAAGTTGCAGCACTTTAAGTTAAGGGCCGTCTCGACGGTGCACAAAAAAAAACCTAAATTAACCTATTACATGTATGAAGAACATACATGTAATTCACAACAAGTTACCTCTATTAACATTTATTTAAATATTACAACTTTGACTCTGGGGTGTTGATGCGTTTCAGCCAGATATAACAAAAATTAAGTTCCTTTTCAAATATTTAATCTGAACATACATTTGTATGTACGTGTCAAGTTAAATCCATGAAGTTGTGGCTGCATGCATTTTTACACAGTACACTTAAAGACAAGAAATAGTTTTATATATATGATATAATTCAAAAGCACAACATACATAAAGCTGCTTTTCCCACATCCAGGAGGCCCATACAACAAATATCCTCTTCGGTATGGAATACCTAAAAAAATTTTAAAAATACATGTATTAACATGTCCCCAAAATAATTTTTGTTAACAGTGAGAGGCATAGTTTTCAAGTCCAGTAACCTACAATGTCAGAACTCATTCTACTTTCTTAAGTGATTAGGAGTATTGCTACTCCCCTCGGATGGGCAGCCAGTCTATTGTGGGCTACCCCCTTAGGATTTCTTGACAGTTTTAAGCTCATAGGTGGAGAGAGGTATTGTGAGACTTAATTATCTTGCCTAAAAAACACAAGACAATCAACCTGCTGGCACTTGACTCATACTTCTAAACCTTAAGTTCAGTCAGCGAGCCATCATGCCTCCACACTTCCACATTCCCCACCCCCATCTCTTATCGGAACATAACATTTGCATAATACAGACTATTGAAACTGTACTGATGTACTGCCCCACAAGGAAACAGTATAAAACTAGCAGCAAGCAAGCCTATTTACTGTAAGGAATCAGCATTGTTATATTTGTAAACTGGGAATGTTCTTAGTCCTCAACGTACTCAGTTTATCACCAAGACAATACCTCTGTCTATGTACCACTTGGCAGATGCAATGAATTCTTTAACATCAGCCAAAATTTTCTGAGAGACACCATCATCCAGAATCACAGAATCCAGCGGTCTCTTTCTCCTTGGAAAACCAAACTGTCTCCAGTCGGCACCCATCGCTGTGTACATAACAGTTTTTCCTTCTTGTTTTTCAAGTGCCATTTGCCTTGCCTCGCTCAAGATATCGAAAAACAACTGTTTGTTTGTTGCAAGAGATGTGAGTGTTACAGTCTCCCATGGCGCCCCCGTGGTTAGATCGACCATCTTCTCTCTTGATCGCTCTACACGAACGAAGCTGTTTTTGTACTTGAAGAAATGAACCCCAGGACAAGGCGAGAAGTCGAATCGCGTGTTTATTTTCCCTGTTTCGTGTTGTTGAAAAGTTGTCTCTACACTGAGATGCTGGGCTCTTTGACCCTGAGCGGCGATCCACTGTAGAACCCAGTGGTAACTCTTGTCTTTGCTTGGAACTTCAAGAGTAATGATCGCGTATCGTCGGAAGGCAGTGAAAGCAAACTGACCTCCCTTTCGTAACACTGCAAGCCCTGCACCCACGCCAACTAGTCCAAATCCGGCTGAAAAGTACTGATTGCTTCCTAAAGAAGCAATCATCTCGGAGAGAGGCATTTCTAAGGTAGTGGGATGATTTGTAACCCAAAGATGTAAAATATTACAATTTTCCTCAATTTAAGCCGCCATGTGCAATTTTTACTGAGCCCACAGTACATAGCCCCGCGATGTATATTATATGAATGTAAGTACGTTTTGTTCATAACTTTAAGTGTATCTTGTTTATTCTAAGTCTGCCATAAATTCGTTGGGATGCACGCAGATAACTGTGTCAACAACATTCTTCTCGTGAGACGTCACCTAGTTATACCTGCCTCTCCAAACACTTGATCGTTTCTCTCGAGGGTATTTTAGTACGTTCATCTCTTCCCTCCCCTCCTCTACAAACACATACAGTGTTTACGCCTGCAGTGTTTACGAAACATTTGCCTCCTCTTATAAGTCTTATCAATAAAGGGCAAAATTACTGAGCGCTGATTGGTTGAGAGAGAGGGCATTTTTTCTTAATCGAGGGCATTTTTAGTAATCAAGAGAGGGCATGATTACCTGTTAATGATTGGCTAATCCGTTGCATTGCTAATCCGTTGCTTCCCAGATAAAAATAGACTGCGCGCGTGATTTTCCTTCGTATAAATTTTGCCCTTTATTTATAAACAAGTAATCCCATGAGACCTCGTACTATTAAGGATTAATTGCACTTGAGTTTTCAAAATTTTCCAAATTGCCCTCGTCGCTTCGCGACTCGGGCAATTTTGGAAAATTTTGGAAAATTTTGAAAACTCTCGTGCAATTAATCCTTAATAGTACTTGGCCTTATGTGATTACATATACTTATTGCTAGGCCAGCTTGGTTCTCCTCTAACAAGTGATTACGTTAAGCGTTTTAGGGTGAGGAAATATTCTTAATCGTCTCCTTATGAGGCGTTTTTTGAGGTGCGTGACATTCCAAAGAACGGCTGCAAAAGAAACGACTCGGCCATTGGATGTGTCAAGTAGTCTCGTGCGGATAAATGTCTGGTATCGTCATGCAATACATTCTCCATTCGAAGTAAATGAACGCGCTGCGTGACCTGACTAAACAACAGCTGCGCAGCTACCAAAGACTACCAACTAGGCAGACGTCACGTTATGAAATCACTTTGCACCGATGTACCAAATAAGCAGCCGCATGCGTTGGGTGTCAAGTATGTGACGAGAGACACTTAGGTGACATCACCATCAAAACTTAAGAATAATTTCATACAGCTTTCTAAAACACCAACTTGGTATCGTTTCAGCGATTTAAAGTTTCAATCACGGTACATTCAAGTTTTGTTTGGAGACTTAAAAAAAAAAGAAGCAACTACATGTCTTGTGTAAGTGAATTTTAGCTCATTATTGGATGACATATTATCGCACTTGTTTTGTAACTGAACACCTTTGAGTCAGCTCAATAATACAATGACCCTCAGAAAGGGAGATCTTCTAGAATATTGTACTTTTATTTCTCGTCATGAAGAGAGAAACTGATCGTGACGCACGTTCATCAATCTGCCATTGGTTGACATTCATCAGCTTTGGGATTTTGTTTACCTCGGTTGCTTTTCTCTCATTGAATGTCTACAATCTTCGCAGGGAAATCGACAAAGTGAAGTCAGAGATTCGTCCCTCAGTGTTGAGGAATGATAAAGGAGCATCACGGTTGTACGATGATTACATCGTCAGATCTCGATTTGTTCGTCAGATTGAACCAGGTCCAGACGAAATTGAACCAGGACCAGGTGAAGGAAATCCATCCCAAGATGCTGGTCCGGAGCTGCATCAAAACAGTTTCGCCAAACTGAACTGCACTCGGGTAAGCACAACGAAAAAAAAGGCCTTTATTCTCTCGTCAGTTTGATAATCGAACGGGAATCTGATATTTGCGTCTATCTTAGGAGGCGAAACTGTCAAAATATTTAAGTTGAATATGTCTTTACCTCAGTTAAATCAGCCGTTTCATTTTGTAGCAAATGTGGTTGTGTGTATGTCTTACCTTCGTCTGCCAGACATTCTGCCCAAGTTTGCTGCTTCTTTGCTCTTGTGCGTGAGCTCTAGACTCTTGGAGCTGTCACAGTCAGGTCAGTACCCTCTATTCCTTACAGGACTTCCCGTCAGGAGAAGAGAATAAATAAAATTTTATATTTTTCAGGATGCGGAAGGATATAGCATTTGCACCCTCGGTGAGGCACTTATTTTTATTTAATTTTTACATGAATAGGTAGGGAAGGCGGGGGGGGGGGGGGGGGGGGGGGGGGGGGGGGGGGGGGGGGGGGGGGGAGAGAGAGGGACTGAAGGTTGAGTTTTTTGTTGGAGATGGGTTCGGCGAGGTTTTTGTCTCTTTTTCCATTCTGTAGTTCTCCTTTTCAAGTAAGTTTGCTACTCATATCAGCAAGTAGGTTTCTTAAAGACCATGAACAAAATTCGCCATTAATTCGATTTTGGTAAAAGTAGGCAGGGACTGGAGGTAGGATATTCTTTCCTCGTATGACAATGAAGGATTCAAAGGGGAGGGGGGGGGGGGGGGGGGGGTCCTCCAGACCTGTGAGCTGTGAGTTTTTTTACTGCCTGTGTAACATATACATTTACGGGGAGGAGAAATTCACGGCATTCGTTGTTACTTATGGGAGCAAAAGGGTTGAAAATGTAGGTCGCAGAAATGATAGACTTCGAGTAACGTTGGTTACCATTTCTCTTACTGAACCTCCTAACTGATTTTGCTACAGTGGCACTATTGGCACTAAGCTGGTGATAAGATAGTAGTGTGAACTCCGGTTGTTGCTGTTTATTATTTACAGTCAACGGTAGTCTCCTTGGAACTCCTGGCGCCCGTCACGAGGTACAAAGACACGTGGAGTCTTACCTCAATCAATCTGGCGCGAATTTTCTCGGAACTTCAGCCGCTCAGCAAGTGGTACAGGACTATTTCGTGTCTTACTTCAACACCTCCGGCGGAAGTTTGTTGAGAAATACTGGCGCTCAGAATGTGGTCCAGGAATATGTTGAATCCTATTTCAACATTTCAGGCGGAAATCTTCTTAGAACTTCTGGACATCAGCAAGTGGTGGAGGAGTATGTGGAGACTTATTTCAACGTATCTGGTGTAAATCTCCTTAGAACATCTGCCGCTCAGCAGGAGATACAGGAATATGTTGAATCTCACGTGAACCAAACATATGGTAAAAGAACTAATGGAATATCCCATCTCCTATTATATTAGATGATAAGTGCACTTACTTCCGTGTTATGATAGTCCTACTGTGTCACGCAATAGTTCACAAATACGGAGTGTTGAGCGGTAGGGTGTGAGGTCGTAAGGGTAAGAATCAAGCTTACTGAAAGCTGTTATTGGGAATTCATAACAAACAGCGACGTTGAGAAGGACCTAATTCTCTGCTTACCTATCACACCTGTATGGTTGATTTTAAACGAAGATTTCAAAGACTGATAAGGAAACTTGCAAAACCTTGCTGCCACTCTAAGATCACCTCTCACAGCGACCCTTCCCCGAGGAAAAGGAAAATAAAAGAAAAAATAAAAGAGGTGAAGAATGAGAGGATTTTAGGAACGCAATTAATTGGCAGAATAACTCTCCAGTAAGGCTGTGATTTGTACTTCACCCAGTTTGTCTCTGTGAGATTCTTATACCAAACGTTTGAAGCTTTGGAAGACTCGTTTTTTTCCGTTTGTGTATGTTGGTTTAACTGTGTTATCGTTGCTGTTTTGTATTCGTTTCCAGGACCTACTCTTTCTCAGTGGACCGGTGATGAGCTGGACAGCAGATTTCGGAGACTCATCAATATCCATTTCAGCAATACCTCTTTCGGTGAGTTATAGACGAAGTACTAAATATAGATTTTCTAACTTGCTACTCAAAATACCCTCAAAATGGCGACGAATTTGAATTTTTCAATATGAAATCTTTTTACTCGGCGGAAACATTTTGAACACAAATTAGGTAAATAAGATTATCTTTTTCATTACATTTTCCATAATCATAAAGAAAAAAAAATTAGTACCATTTTCCAACGTTATTTCCAGAAAAAAAATCGCACAGTTATTTGGAAAACGTTGTCTTTCTCATGATTTGCAATTCCTTTGTCTTTGTTGCAGGACTCGGTAGTTTTGGAGGAAATTACACTGGATTAACTGGTTTTAATTTTACTGGCAGTGGATTAGGTGGTAATTTTACAGGAATAGGATCTGGCGGAACCGGGAGTGGATTGGGCGGGAGTTTCTCAGGCGTGGAAGGAAGCCTTCGTCTTATTGAGCAGTATGTTGGTTCCTATGCGTTGAAAACGTTTGGTGAGTGAACAATTTCTCAGTCAGAAATACTTAACAGGGGGTAACAACTAAAGGAAAACTTGGTTTTACATGTAAATTATTTCTTTGAGGTCCAAAAAAATTATTCAGGTGAAAGTGACATATAAGGTATGATACCAAATTTGACGCTTCTCTTTGAATTCATGCAGGTGCATCATCGTCAAAATTATTTTTAGTCAATATTTAGCTGTGAGGTCTAATCGCTCACCTACAACTTGGCAGCTTCCGGGAAAAGAGGAGTCTATTAATGAAAGATAAAATGAGAGGATTGAAATGGTTACGATGCTTTTCTGGTGAAACGTGATATTATTCGCTTTGTCATCCTCTATAGAATCTTAAATAATCATTTCTGATGGTAACTGATTGGAGTTTTTGCCACCTTACTAGATTCAATTTAAAATAATGCAATCGGTTAATAGCCAAAATAGGTTTCTAAGTACTACATGCAATTAAAATCGTCCTCAAAATACCTATTTTTGTGTTTATTTGATTGGTTACTGAAAATAAGCTTCTAAAATTGATTTCTTGTCCTTGTTTTGATCATCATAGGTCCGTCGTTTCTCCCTGGCGCAGAAATTGAACTAGAGCCGGGCCAGACAGTGCTGGATGCTTACTTGGACCAAGCTGTTGGAGAGGCAGTCCAGTCACAGTTAGGGGGTGGGGGTGGAACAGGAGGTAGTAATGGGGGTGGAACAGGAGGTAGTAATGGTGGTGGTGCAGTTGGAGGAGGAACTGGGGGCAGTGGTAGCGTTGGGGGTGGTGGTGGGAGCGAGGTGGGCCCTGATGAGGGAGGTGTAGGTGAGTAAGATTTTTTTTTTTTTTTTTTTTTTGGGTTACTCTATGCAATTTAGGTGATTTTTGGTACCTTCGATTTTCCTCAAGGTCTAGCCTGCTTTAGTAAAAAAAAATTGACCCGTCTATCTTGCAGGCCCTGTGGATGGAGGAGTGACGAGCGGAGAAATGAATCAAACAATCCAGCGGTATATCGGATCATTTGCGCAGGCGTCTTTTGGTAAGATTTTCTGCCAGCTCGATATATCTCCGCTCTTCAAGGATCTTTAGTCACAGTCATAATACATGATTATGTAAACTGATAAACGCAAGAGATTATATTCCCTTAGTAAACGTTGACAAGTACAACGTCACGCTGGTACAGCCGGATCCGTTCAACCCTTTAACTCCCAAGATTTGATTGGTAATTCTCCCCTCTGGCTGCAACACATATCCTTGTATATTAGTTATGAGAATTTGGTGTTAGATCAAGAAAACAACTTCGACCTGATAAATTTGAATATTCTCACTAGCTGTTTGCTGGATAATGTAAGGATATTATAGCGAGAAGTTTCATGTTGATCACTTCTGGGAGTTAAATGGTCAAGTGTACAAGAACGCACTGGCTCCTCTGTAGCTCCCTGAAGTTTGATTTACTCGCGCCACTGAAAGGTCCTCTGAAGTAACAAACATTAAATAAACGAACATCTATCTTTTCATCACTGAACTAAAACATATTAATGCAGGGCATGAGTATCAGTCGAGAATTGAATTCTATGTTGGTGAAGTGTCGAAGTTCTCGTTTCCTTCGATATGGTATTTTTTTTAGTTCCTTTGCCAAAATTAACGTTCAGAAGGTTTATAAGATAAGAATCCTTCGTCACTGATTGCAGGTCCCTCGTTTGTACCTGGCGCTTCAGGACCTGGCGATAAGACTCCATTGGAGATGTTTGTAGACGATTCTGTTTCGCGGTCTTTGATGAAGTTTTTTGAAGACAAAGGGGACTCTGGTAAGCCTTAAACTACCCTCAACGGAAGAAGGTCTATCTGACATATCTTCTCCCTTAGGAAGAAGAGTCAAAACACCATGCATTCACCTCTACGTATGCTGTCATTCCATTACTTTGTCACTATTTCGTTTTCACAACCATCCATTTTTTGCCTGTTCTGAAAACGCCTCACTCAAATGTCGTGATTCCGAACGCTCTAAAATTACATGGTTAACAACTGCGCGGAGCATTTGATTACAAAACTCACCCCTCGGTTTGAAACGGACGACATAATTGCGCAAAAAAGCGGTGCGATTGACTTCGATTGCGCTATGCAAGATTTCCTTGGACGGCAAAAGCTACGTCGCTAGCATGATGCAAGATTTGAATGGACAGAATATATTTTTTTAGGGGCACGATGCATTCTTTCCTCAGATGGCATGAATTTCCGTAATTGCATGGTGCATGATTTAGATTGACAATGCGCATTACTTAAATTGCATGACAGGCAGCATGAGTTGCTTAACTTGCATAATGCACATTATGCATTGAAAAGCATGATAGTCTTAAATATACGGCGTGTATTGGTTTCATTGCATACTGCATAGTTAGCATGAATGCATGCATCATCAGAATTGCATGAGCATGTTTTGCATCAATGGCATGAATTACTTCTCTTACATGATGCATGAAAGGAAATGAATTGATCTTAATCCTTGTTTAATTTGCTTGCATTGATGGTTTACATTTTTTTAATTGCTTAATGCATGACTTGAGGCAACTTAAGTAGCACGATAGTTAATTTGCACTGTGCGAGGCATGAATTGCACGAATGATATCCAGAGCATAAATATTTTTTTAAACCATTGCACCAACTACATGAGTATAGAAATTGATTGCAGGAATTTCATGGGTTACATTTATGGATAGAATAAAATTGTACGACTTCTGGTAGTTTATGATAAGTGCATAATGTAGACATCCCGCTGCAACGGACAGCCACTCCTAAACCTGGCAACCTACAGAGCTCAGTTCCAGTAAGTAAATTGCAAGTCACAGTTTCCTCTTCCTTTTTTTCGCAGTTTGATTCAGAATATTTTATATTAATCATATATTACCATTAACGATGTGAGAACGTTTTTCCTCTTCAGCACCGCAGCCAAAACTCCCAGATAACTACACTATCCAGACTTTTGTCAGAGCTTATGTAGACGAGTATTTGGGTAAATACGCCATGTCTTTGTTTGTTTGTTTGCTTTTTTTTCTGTGATTTTGTTTTATTTGTTCGTCCCTTTCAGAATTTCTTTGTGTGAGAGTTTTGAAATGTCCTTTCAGTACATGTTTTGTTGCTCTTTTTACGTCTTTAGGTGAACTAAATATTTCTTCATCCCAAGAGCTCCAACAGTCACAGCCTCAGCTGCTTAATAATCGCACTATTAAGAGCTTCGTGAAGGCTTATGTTGATGATCATATCAGTACGTACTTGATATAGTGCCATCATAACTCTCTTTCTGTTTCTTTTCATCAGTTATAACAGGATTAGCTCTAACGAAGGGCTAACGCACGAAACGTCAACTTTAGAAATTTTTTACGGCGGCCAATTTACGTTATCGACCCAGCTGATAAAATGAAATCCTCTTGTAATGCCCCATCAACGCAGCACCACATTTTGTTCAGAAAACTACCTCCCTTATAAATTATAACAGCCCATTATTTCTAACGTCATATGATAGCTGATTTCATCTCTCTATTGGAGATCATCAGTCGCAAACTTGTACGCCAGACAACCAATTGGCTTGAATATACAGATACGTTGGGCGTTATACTCTTGTATTTGTATATTTATGACGGTGTCTCGTTTGTTTCTTTGAAGACCGCTCTGTATTTTACTATTTTTATATTTATCTCTTCCAAGGTGCACTCAATTTATCCTCCTCTTCACAAGCAGCGTCAGTAATGGCAGATAACCGAACGATGCAGAAATTTATCCAGAATTATGTGGATGAATATCTGGGTCAGTGTACTGCGTAGTCACAAATGGAATTATGTTTGTAGATATATGAAAATCGTATATATGCAGTGCTGTGAAGAGACGAATATAAGAGATCCTCGCAGCTATAAACACTACTGAACTAGTAGTTGAAATAAGACCTGAAAAAAATTCAGGCCCGTACGGGATTTGAACCCATGACCTATGCGATACCGGTGCAGCGCTCTACCAACCGTGACCCAACTTAATTACCAACTCCCAGTTGGCTTGTTAGCTCAGTTGGCTGTACTGGTATCGCAGAGGTCATGGGTTCAAATCCCGTACGGGCCTGAATTTTTTTCAGGTATTATATCAACTACTAGTTCAGTAGTGTTCATAGTTGCGAGGATCTCTTATATTCGTCACAAATGGAATTGTTGTAACCGTCAGTTCTAGGGTGATATTTGATGTTGTTCGTATTTTTATAGTATTGAGTTTCTCGTTTTGATGAAACTTTTTATCTGAGGGGGTCTGGATTTGTGACTATTGCTATTTTAACGTTCAGACTTTCAAGACGCTTACAAGATGAGCTTATTCAGTGCTTTTGAATTACTTTGATATTGCTTAGACTCGTTCAATTTCGTGCTGTTTATTCAGTCATGACAGAGGAAAGGAATTTTTTGTCGTTGTAACAGCTCCCACAACTTCCTGATAAAAGAACCATCCTATACTTTTTGAGGCCTATGTTAACGAATATGTTAGTTAGTATACTGTGACATAACAATCTGTAGCATTTCTAATGTCTCTGTTATTGTTTTTTCAGCTGAATTCAATTTTTCCTCGTCGCAGCCGCCCCAATCTGGTAATAAAACAATCGAGAGCTTCGTTCAAGCTTATGCAGAGAAGTATTCGGGTAGGTACCCTGTGGCATGGTGTATGACGATATATCGACTTTCAACCTACTTTTAAATACGTGATGGTTGGATTGTCTCACGAGGATATTAAATCTGTTTTGTTGTTATATTTTTTTAGTTAGTTTGTTTGTAAGTTTATTGATCATTGTTTAATTTGTTTCTGTCAGGAGTAAAAGCTAATGATAACCGAACTATTCAGGGCTTTGTCAAAGATTATGTTGATGAATATGTTGGTGAGTATTCTCTAGATGCCTTTATACGTGTGACTGTTTTACACGCATCTGTATATAAAAAAAAAAGTCATTTACAAATCACTCTAAGGCCTGGCTTTTACTGGCAACGCATGCACACTCCCCGCAAACATAAAAGGAAGCACACACGCAAGCATAACAGCTCTTGTTTCACTATAAAAACGGCCACGACTCAAGGTCAAGAAAAAGGAAAAATTATGATCCTTCTACTTGAGCTTGAGCTTGTGATTTCTGCCTCCTTCGAGGCCGTTTTAACGGTCAATTAGAGCTGTTACGCTTGCGTTTGTGCTTGCGGAAGCCAACAGCGATACATCACGTGCAATACTATACTTACTGTGCACCCAATTACCAAACACTTCATAGTCCCAGGGTGACGTTGTCGATCAATGTCATTATCTGAGCAACTGCTTACCTACTCCTCCCCTAACCCAACAACAGTCGACTGATAACAACTTAGGGTTGAGGGAGGCGTAAGTGTGCAGTTGTTTGATTATATCGCTATTTTTCCTTTCAAGGTGGACTTAATCTTACGGCATCGACGAGGCAACAGCAGCTTTCTGATAATAGCAGTGTGCAGGACATCGTGAAAGATTATGTGCGTTCGTTTACAGGTTTGTATTATGTCTCATGCAATGCGTTCATGGTTTTACATAGAACAGTTACATATGTTTCCTTAAAGAGTGATTTCTTTCCTTTTCAACAGGTATTTTCTTTATTACGATTTTAATTTTATTCCTCTTTATCAACTCAAGGTGGTTTCAATTTTTCATCGCGACAATCTCAAACACGGACTCCCAATAACCGCACTATACGGAGCCTTGTCAAAGCATACGTAGACGAGTTTGTTGGTGGGTACACTGTAAAATGTCTAGTGCCTATGATTTCACTCTATTGATAATCTTTTTGGTCCCTCTCCAGAAAAAACCTGTTGTACTTTGAAAGTGATGACGCATTTCCATTTTCTCATTTCCTTTTTTCAAGCGGCGCTAAACTTTTCCTCACCACAACAGCAAGTAGAGTTGCCAGACAATAGCGCGATACAGAGCTTTGTAAAGGATTATGTCGACAGATTTGTGGGTGGGTACAATTTCATTTGTTTGCATTGTTTTGAGTTTTAAGAAATGTCACCAATCGTGGTGTTTATTTTTCGACACATGTGCCATTTCAATGATAATGTTGCTGATTTAACTATTCTCTTTTCCAAGGTGACCTCAATCTCTCTTCATCTCAAGCACAAACCCAGCCCCAGCTGAAGCTGCTTAACAGTAGCATTCAGAACTTTGCGAGGATTCACGTCGACAATTATTTGGGTGGGTATAGTTTTGTCTTTCACACGGCCGCATGAATCTTACAATCTATACCTTTAGGTATTTATCTCCAGTGTTCAAGTTTATAGGAGCTGTGATAGGATAATGTTTATCGTCTTATTTGCGCTTTGCAGAAATGTGTCTTTAAGTAAAAGAAAACTGTTATATTTTTAGATAATTCTGGTTTTATCAACTGAGGTGATGTTGTAAATTTACCACCGTAAAGAGTTTCTAAGCTAACGTTTCGAGCGTTAGCCCTTCGTCCTTCGCTCTGACAAAGGGCTAACGCTCGAAACGCCAGGTCAGAAACTCTTTACGGTGGCCAATTTACTTTATCAACTTTGTTGATAAACCAAATTATCTTGTTTTACTCCTCCACTGACGCAGCACCACAGTTTCTATAGAACCTCACCCCTTAATTTATTTGTTTCATTTTTACATACCAACCGTGGTTACCCTGGTCGATTAACACTCCCTAGTTTAGGATGAGATGATAGGATTTGTTCCAAATTCATTGCCCAAGGACTTATCTTTGTTCGTAATTTCAGCGGGTAAACTCAGTCTACCAGCCGACAATCGGACCTTCCAAAATATTGTGCAAGATTATGTGAATGTATATATAGGTAAGCATGCTTAGCTTGCAAGGTCAAAGTGTTTTATTAAAATGTTAGTGATACCTTCGCCTTCTAATGTGGATGTCTATTTTCTTATCCAATATGAAAAAAAAAGGTGGACTTAATTTGACCGCGTCATCACCGCAAACGCAGTTTCTCAATAACCGAACCATCCAGAGCTTTGTAAAAGTTTATGTAGACGATTACGTTGGTGAGTATAAGGCATTGTTAACCCTCTCCTTCCTGATAGTGCAGACCAAAAATGAATTTCTCTATACATTATCAATGCATTTTCAAGGAGAGAGGTGATAGGAAGAAAGGTTTCATTTGAACATCATTTTTTGCGCTACGACTTAGTCTTTGCATTTGCCGATTTGATTGTTTATATAAATATAAATATATATATATATATATATATATATATATATATGTATGTATGTATGTATGTGTATATATATATATATATATATATATATATATATATAACATATAAAAACAAATGAAAGAGTTATATTGAATGATAAAATTAATGAAAATGATATATATTCTCTGTCTCTTTCTTTAATTGCCTCAACTGTTCATTGATGAATCTTTCATTTGTTGTCTTTCGTATTACTTCATTTTACTGAGGGAGGCGTTATACTTTTTAACCAGACACAAACCTGATGACCTACTTATTCAGGCCTTTGTGTAAGAATATGTCCATGGATACATTTGTAAGTACATCCTGAAGCGCTGTCCTGGTGGAAAATGACTATTTTCGTTTACGGAAAACAAGTAAAGTGCACGATTGCATTTAGATTACGTGCCATATTCTTTGTCCCATGGACATGGTAATTTCATCCCTAAAATTGGATGCCATTTTCCTTCTTATGAGATTTCTTTTGTTCTGTACCAGATGGACTCAATCTTTCTTCAGCACAAAAACACAATGGACGTCCTATTAATCTCACCATACAGAGATACGTAAAAGATTATGTTGATGAATATGTTGGTGAGTGTAGTATAACTTGAAGCATTAAAAACTGGATTATTGGATAATGCACTACTAGAGTTTTCATTGGCTCAGCCATCGTGGGTTATGAGCCATTATACCATGCGCGCGCATGAAGCCGAGTCAAACGGGGAGTGTTTTTGTACATTGTAATACAGTAAAGTTGGGAAGATTTATCTATATTTTGGGTTTTTTTTAATAAAACAATCATTGCACTTGCGCTTGTTGGAAATGAGATGATTACAGCCAACTCGGCCTTACGGGCCTCTTTGTCTGTCTATCATTTCATATCTAACGCTCGTTCGTGGAATAATTGTTTAATACCACATGACTTGCAAGAAAACTTGTGTTAACTTGTCGAAGTTTACGAAAGAAATCACGTATGTGTTTTTTTAACATGTGAGTGATGAATGTGGTGGTACTCTTTAAATCCTGAGGCATGCATAACATTCTTTTCCTTAAAGGTGGATCTAATCTGTCCTTTTCATCATCCCAACCGCAATTGCTCGGCAACCGCACACTTCAAAGCGTTGTGAAAGATTATGTGGACGGCTATTTAGGTGGGTGTGCTGTGGCATGGGATGATCATAAGACTGTCTGACTGTCTGTCATGAACCTTTTGAATTTTTTTACAGCACAGTGAAAACATTATCTTATTTTGACCTCGTTGTCTTTTTTCGGTCATTTCAGCTGGACTCAATATTTCTTCTGTAGCACGACCTCGACCACCACCATTTCAAAATACCACAATCCGAAAGCTAGTGGAAGGTTATGTAGACGTGTATGTAGGTTAGTATTAGGTAGTATGCAATTTACTGTTTTGTGCTCTTTTCTCTTTGGATATGCTTCTTCGTCAGTATTTTATTTTAGACGTTCTTGATCTTTCTTCGCTCCATTCGCAATTGCAGCCGCTTGATCACCGTTCGATTAACCCTAATTCCAAGAAGTGATTGATATGTAACTTCTCGCTATAATATCCGTACAATATCTGGGATAAAGGTAACGAGAATACTCAAACTTATGAGGAGAAGTTAGCAGAAGTTATTTTGATCTACATCAAATTCCCATAACTAATTTACAAGGGAATGTGTTGCAGCGAGAGGAGAGAATTAACAATCATATCTTGGGAGTTAAAGGGTTCAAGAAATCATAAATGCTCAAAAGGATGATTACAAAGGTATTCTGCGTTTTCGAGTTCGTTTTTTTTCCTTTACTTAACGCAGATGAAATTTCCTTTTTTCTTTGAAAGATGGACTTAATTTATCCTCCTCGCTGCAGCGGGCAAACGGCCTTGGTAATCGCTCTATCGAAAGCGTTGTTGAAGACTATGTAAACCAGTTTATAGGTAGGAGTGCCCCTATTTATGTCCACTTGTATTTAGCAATCTTTTACTGAGTTTCGAAAGTTACCGTAAGTAGGCAGCGATTCCACTGGGTTTTCTTTATCTTTCTCTTTGATTGGTCCATTGAACTCGTTCTGTCTTCTCAACCATTCACTCAAAACTGAAATCAATTACGACTCATCCATCCACGTTTTCCCGCGCTTATGTCAGGTTTTCTTTCGCATTGCTTACATGTGATATGGTATATGTGATATAACTTGTGAATGGCTGTTGTAATTGATTTAGGTTTGGTTAACAACTCTCAATCAAAAGGCGCTCTGTTACTTTGACGGAGGTTTACTTTGCCAGATAATCTGCTGTCATCTTTCATTTCAGGTGGATTAAATCTCTCTTCACCACAACAGTTTTCATTCCCTGATAACCGAACCATACAGAAGTTTGTCAAAGATTATGTGGATGAATACGTTGGTGAGTATGTTCTCATCATGGTGGGTGAAGATGTGTCTCTCCTGTAACCTTTATAAGAAGGTTTTAACCTAAGATTCTAAGATGAAGACGTCTTTCTTTTTAAATCGAGATGAACTCAATTTATCCTCATCACAATCCGCAGACCAAGCACCTGATAACCAAACCATTCGGAGCTTTGTAGAAGACTATGTTGACCAATATGTCGGTGAGTATTCTATGTAAACTGGCCACATATTTATCATCGTCATAGCCTGAGACGAGAGTGTCTTATAGTCATACAATGCTTGATTTGGGGAAAGAGTATATAGACATTTGCTGGAACAAATTTAAGAGATTTACTGCACTTGTAACTTTGATAAGATGAATATCAAGAAATTATTACAGCTCGTCTTTTTTTTGCGTTTAAGGCAGCCTCAATTTATCCTCATCACAACCGCCTGATAATGATGCGATTCAGAAATTTGTAGAGAATTATGTTGACGAGTATGTCGGTGAGTTCATTAGTGTTTAGTTACTGCGGTTATCCGAGTGACTTTTCGTGTCGCGATTCAGTCATTTTCTATGATTTAAAACAGCTTTGAGCCGACTCCATTCCAAAAGATTTTTCAGCTTCTAGAGTTGAGACAGAAACGCAAAAACACGAAATTTTACTGGAAATTAAGGAAGACTGAATTTCCCCACTTTACAATCCCAATGCCTCTGGCTGCCGAACAACCGCACTCCGTGTACTCATCAACTTCTTCTTTTCGTGAAGGGGCAGAAAAACAAACAAACAACCCACAATCACGGTACGCGACTTGTTTGTAGAATTCTCAGTATGGTAATCTTGCTTTTCCTCTTTCATTGAAGGCGGACTCAATATATCCGCATCACAACCTCGACCGAAGTTGCCTGATAACCGCACGATCCAAAATTTAGTGAATGATTATATAAAAGAGATTCTGGGTTAGTATACTGTTGTTATTCGTATGTCTGTCGTTCTGCATTCATTTTCTTTCACGTTATTTGATGTTCGCTTCACCTCTTGCCCTTTTTATTCCTATTCATTCAAGGCGGACGCAACCTTTCTGCGCTGAAACCTCAACCTCACGATAACCGCACCATCCAGAATCTTGTTGAATTATATCTTGCTGAATATCGTGGTTGGTATACTGTGGTACTTTAAATCCCAGCATTATTATGCTTTGAAAATTTGTGTGAGTTTCACAACCACTATGTTCTCTCGCGTGGATATGATTTGTTTTTTTTAATTTCAGGTGGGCGTAATATTAACGCGACGCAACCGCAATCAACTCCTCCTTCTAACAGCACAATTCAGAGCTTTGTACGGAAATATGTGAACGAATACATCGGTTAGTAAAGGACATACTTATTGCATTTTAGCACTTCATAAATGCCTCTGTACTTCAAGGTCTGTGGTGCTCAAGTTTTCGCGGTTATCAAATGTGTCTCAACCATAGGCAGATCCTAATAGTTTTGAAACAGTTATCAATTTAGTGTCAAAAATAATGTCTGGCCGTCATAATTTCACTGGTTTTCGTTTTACGACACTCAATCGAAAAGCACTCTATCAGGGACTAATGTTATGTACGTCTTTTTTAGATGAACGCAATTTCTCCGCGTTTCAACCGCAACGTCTACCTCTTGATAACAGCACAATTAAGCCCTTTGTTGAGCACTATGTACAGGAATATTTGGGTGAGTAAGCCACTTGACTTTCTGCAGTTCTCTCACCATTCCCGTTCTTCCAATTGTCTTTCTGGAACAGAGGATTTTTTTCGTTGAAGGTGGGCGCAATCTTTCCGCATCACAACCGCAATCAGAGCCGCTTGACAACAGCACGATCCAGAATATTGTAAACGCCTTCGTGAATCAACATATTGGTTAGTGCGCGGCTTAAATGCTTGAATATCTATGTCAACGTTTTTTTTTTCTCTCTTTAAGATTAAGGTATTACTTGCTAAAGATTTTACAATTCTACCACTCAGATGGGCTCAATCTTTCACCAGAAGCGCAGCCACCCCTAAACCGCACAATCCAGAATTTTCTAGAAGCGTATTTAGATAAGTATACCGGTAGGTATAATGTAACAAATCTCACTTAAGTGTAGTTAGCATTTTAGCCTATTTTCGCGATATGGCTGTGACATCAGTTTAGGTGGTCAGTAACTATTTTCTGTTGTCGTTTAACTTTACTTTACCTTACCTTGCCATTACAATCTCGACCGTCTGATAACCGCACCATACAGAGCTTTGTTAAGGCTTTCGTTGGTGAGATCATGGGTGGAAGAAAGAGTCTGTGATACTGTGCTATGTGGGGCTTTTTTGCATAGGATAGTGTTGCTACTACGAATAACAGTTGCTGTTAACTCGATTTAATCCCAATCATCAGTCTGTAGGTTGCATTACAAACATTAGTATGTTGCATAATGTATGTTGAGTTTTATCATGTTTTTATCTCTCTATACAGTCTCTGCTGCTTTTATAGCTACAAAAGTTAAAGTATATCTGTCATGGTGATATTTGCTTGTTTTGCATGGGCATTTTGGCATCTAATGCTTGTTTACGCATGGAACAGTGCAGTAACAACTCTTGGGTCTTTTGTATGTTGCATGGTGTATATCTTAAAGCTGCATGGTGTGTATTTGCATGTTGCACGGTGTGTATTTGCATGTTGTAAATGTGCATATTGTTGCATGATTTCTACTCCACCTGTAATTGCATGTCTTGCATATTGCGAGATGCATATGTTGCATGTTTTCTTCATATTGGTCTCGCGCATGTCTTTACATGGTCCCTTTCGTGCAAAGGATAGACTCTACTTTAGCTGCTCGTTCATTCTGTTGTATGTTACATGATTAATTTGCATGTTGTTTATACACATTTATCTGATTAAAATGTACCTAGCTGATTTGAAGTTCGTAACTAATTTTTAATATGGAAGGATTTTTATATCCTACAATTTCTTACTCTGTATCAACGTTCGATAACTGAATGCTGTTTACTACTGCATGTCATCATCTGTTATTTTGTTTAATGTATAGTGATATATCATAAATTGCTATGCATATGCGCATTTAATTGTAGCCGTTAATATTTCCATACAAGAAAGAACACGTAGTGCTGGATGTGCTTTATTGGTCAGTTTTTTTTTTTGCATTGTATCCATCACTGCATGTGCATGATGCACGTTTACTTGCATGTAAAATTATATTTATCAATTTATGCATGCATGCTGCATTTTCTTGTATGTAACTTTCCCTAGATGGGAGCGAATTGAATCAAAAAATCATCGAAGTGGTGAATTCTCGTTTGAGAACTATCACAGGTAAGTTTCTGGTTTAGAGAACATTCGAACCGAAATTGCATGATTTGAAATCAATTGTGAACATTTCTAATGCACTAAACAGGAATGAAAATGTTTCTTTTTATAGTGATTCCTGTAATCTATTTAATTCGTAGTCTGCTGGCAGCCGTGACGTTCCAATGGACGGCTGCGAAAATTATGCGTAATTCTAAAAGTATCGTATTAAACATACTATGTTTGTAGTGCCCTTAAAATTGGTGTTGAATCGTTATATGTGCATGTCATGTGTTTCGAAAGCTACAGTGGAAAATGCGTGTGTGTATCTAAAAGAGGAATTTCATTGTAGCTGATCGTAAAAGCGAGGTTCGCAGCACCTTTATTTACTTTATCCTGGTACTCGTTTCAAGGCTGTTTGCAATTAATTTTTTAAAGAAACCGTGATCATAAAAACGTTTAGTTATACATGACAAACCGGACACTGTACGCTGTTGTGTTGGATGTACTATTTATCTCATAAGGAAGGAACGATTCTTTAAAAGTCATCTCGTAGCTACTCTCCATCTCACGCTATGTCACGCAAATTGATGCAAGACTATTGCAAATCATGAACTGGTGCCACTCCAACCCACACTGTACCTATGAACATGTCATGCTTTATCTTCTATGCCATACCATATATGCCATACCATACATGTTGCGATTCAATTCCAATTCAAGAAACATCTTACTAATTCATATCATACCAAGTCGTGAATAGAAATGCAATGCCATGCCTTACAAGAAATGTCATGCAATGCTATACCTGCTATGAGCAAGCCAAGCAAGGAAACATGCCATGCAATGCTATGCAGTGCGCAACAATGCTATGACCGTCTAAATGCCCACATCGGTCATTGCCATATCAGTTAAAACTTCCTCCTTACTCCTTGCGGGAGGGTCTCTAAACCAAGCCAAACCAAACTAAGGTAAGTCAGCCCAAGGTAAGCCAGACCATACCATGCAGTGTTATGCTGTAGGCGTGCCGTCCACGTGCAGTGTAATGCAGTAAGAAGCATGCCGTCTAAATGCAAGGTAATGCAGTAAGCATGCTGTCCACGTGCAGTGTAATGTAGTAAGCATGTTGTCTGACACGCCAAGCTATGCAAAGTCATGCTATGCCAAGGTTCTACCTTGCTTCGCTATGCCATGCTACACTCGACTACGCCAAGCTCTTACGTGAATTGGAAATTTCGAGTGTTTACACTGCTTTAGACAAGGGCAAAAGGCTGCTATAGAATTAAGTGTTTCTCTTCCTTGTTCACATAGCAATGCTATACTCTGTGACCAGAAAACTTTGCCATTCAGTACGCACCGCACTGCCATTGTAGGTGAAGCCAGCCGTGACTTGGCATAAGGCTGTACAATCTGTTATCATTTCTGAATTCATAGTTATCATTTCTTGTTTGGTTTCTTTCAATAAAAAGATTCATCCATCCAATCTGTCAGCCTTTATCGTTCCTGTCGATGCACTCATTCGAATACCAAATTGTTTTCTTGTTACGTGTTCTTAAACGTGCGTCTTCATGTATTTATTTGATCTCCTCAATCTCTCAAGAAATCCATAGATTCTTGGCTTAGGGAAAAGTATCGCTTTCATTCATGTTGTTTGAAAAAAATTAACTGTAATTACGTAAATGCTGTTTGCTCTTCAAGGACTGGCACCTTCTTTCTATTCCTAAGAATATTCTTGTCGTTTCTTTTATCCGTTATTTTGCCTTCATTTGTCGCTTCACAGTGATTTTAGAAGGAAAGAAGACTGAGGATAAGATGGAAGTTTTAAATTCTTACTCTTGACAGATGTGAAGTCAATCCCTGGTCCTCCGGGTCCACAAGGAATTCAGGGGCCCGCAGGTCCCCCTGGTGTTCAAGGACCTGTTGGTCCTCCTGGTATGCCGGGTGCAAACGGTCAAGCGGGAGCAGCAGGAACACCTGGCCCTCCGGGGACTGCAGGGGCCCCGGGTGCAAACGGACTTCCGGGCCCTCCAGGTCCTTCAGGAAAAGCAGGGGCTCGTGGCTCACGGGGTCTGCGTGGCCCTCCTGGACCCCCGGGGCGGTCAGCTCCGACAAAGGTTACACGCCCAACGGGAGACGGAGATGGCAAGCAGACAAAGGAGCCGGACAAAAAAACACCAACGTTTGAAGGATTCTGTGAGTAAATGCTATTTGTAAAATCATTTGGCGAGTTTTGTGAAGAGATCACGCTTCCAGACCCTCAAGAAAGGCCAAGCTACCTTGTTACATACATATTTTAGCGACATTCATTTAGCGAATTTATCTTTTTTCAAGATAATTAACGGTAACTAACCTAAAAAGCTTTATATGTCCTCTCTCTCGGAGGCTTTTTCGTTGCCATGAGATACTTCCTTGAAGCCCTTTACCCCTACGAGTGATAGCATCTAATTTCTCCCTACAATATCACCCTGAATCACACGGTAAAGTTGCGAGATACTCGTGCGCACAAAGACGTACGTTCGTTTATGTACGCACGGATGTACGCACCTACGTACGCACGAATGTACGCACGTACGCATGCACGTGCGTACGTACGCATGTACGAACGTACGTCTTTGTGCGCACGAGTATGCGTCTCACACGTGCTGCCAAGGCTGCACACAATTATGGGTCAAAACAGAATAAACAAAGATTTTTTTGACAAAATTGGAATTAAACAAATTCTCCTGTCAGCACCTTAGGAAATGTACGGAGAATTGTATCGAGAATATGTATACTGATGTTAGGTTGTAAAGGATTAAAGAGCAAAAAATTCTTTCATTCGCTCGAGTACGTTTAGATTACATTACTAGGATGGGACCATGTGGGTCAGTGAATGTTGTACTTTCACAGTTACCAAACCTCCAAAAACTCTTTTTCAGCCAAGCCGAACATAACAACTAAGCCTCCGAAATCCTACATAGCTACGAAAGGAGACTATATAGTCCTAGGTTGTTCTGCCGATGGATTACCGAAACCAGAAATAATTTGGGTGAAAAAGAACAATGGACGTGCGGTCATCGGAAATTATTTCACCTTGGAGAACGCTCTCCCGGAGGACTCTGGAAACTGGACTTGCCGTGCAAGTAACCTCATGGGTACAGATACCGCTAACGTAGAACTTATCGTAGCGAGTAAGTGATCTGACAATGATGGTAAATGGTAATTTTATTGTTCGTATAGCTGACAACTTCAAGCTTCCCAAGAAAACATAACTGGCAATCATTTTAGTGTAGCTTGGTGTACCCGACTAGCGATCGCAACGTTAACGTCTAGCTTGCGAGCATGCTCTTATTATCAGCGCCTCAGTGGGAGCGTTTCTTCCCACGTGAGTAAGTTTAAGGCCTTAAGCATTACTTGCCGGCGAGACGTTTGTCAGACCACTTGCAGACCCCTCGCCGGCTGATGTTGCTCAATGCCTCAAACTTATTGGAGAGTGGAGAACCGCTCCCACTGAGGCGCTAATAATGAGGCGTAGGCGCAGAACCCCCTGTTCAGAAATTCTGGATCCGCCTCTTCCAGTTCTAACTGCTCTTTCCGTTAAGAACTAAAAAAACGATACTCGTAATTTTCTCTTGACTTATTTTTTAGCCGAGCCGACATTCTCTGTAGCACCCGTGCCAAAAATCACAGCTTTTACGGATCAAATCACCGAGATAAAATGCGATGTAGAAGGATTTCCATCACCCAAGATAGAATGGCGTCGTCAAGGCAACAAGGAGCTTCCTTTTGACAGGCACTATATCCGAAATAACAACCTGTACTTAAGGAATCCTATCAAAGCGGATGAAGACATCTACATGTGCCACGCCTCAAACCCAGCAGGGTCTGTTATGGGAGGTACTGAGGTCACAGTACAAACCTATGGTGAGTTTGTTTGAGCAGTGAAACTTACACTAACCCTGTTACACCGTAACATCCGTAAGTATATGCTCAATAGTGTTTGTCATACATTTCGTAAGGTGCTGACTGGGAGGATTTTTTTAACAATCAAGAGCCTCCTCAGTTGGTGATCATTTCGTTTATTCTCGTGAGACTTAGTGTGTGATTCAGGGGTAATATTGTGAGGAGAAATTAAGGGTAAGTCACTCTTAGAGATCAAGCGGTTAAGCCAAGCTGTACTAACTTGGTCAAACATCAGCCCAACTCTCAATCGTCCTTTTTTCGTATTTGCGAAGACGTCGCATTATTTGAAAAGTTTGGGGCTTTTAATAAATAACTGACTAAATCCCTGCATCAAGCAGACCCAAGCAAGGGTCTCATACGAAAGTTTGTTCGATACAAGTTTCATTGTAAGAGTTTGTAAAAGTTGAGGAATCAGGTCTTCTGACATACAAGACTTCCCCCCACAGAATGAACTTCGAAAATCGGCCAACTATATGGATTGCTCATTCTGGTTCTGTCACGATCGTAATAAATATAGATCAGGTTCGGTTTTACGGTGGGACTTTGATCGTAAGGATTAAAATCCTTGCCAAACTGACTTCTAAAAGACCAGTAATTATTTGTGGCCGGAGGATTTTGGTTGTGTCACGTTAATTTTACCTGATCCTCCCATATGGTTCTGTGTTAGCAGTCAATTTTCTATAGTCTCCCTTAATACTGAATATGGCGAGGACTGACTCCCCC